AGGTATTTTTGCTAGTGAGCTTTCCAAAAGTTAAGAGGTAAGGAGTCTATAGGCTCTAGAATATATTAGTACTCCTATAGATAAAATAAGGTAAGTAATATACTAATATCAAGATATCCTATAACTTTATCCTTTAGTTTAGTTAACTAAGGCTTACGCTTATTAAGCAAGAGTCCGAGGCGTAAGCCTTTTCTAAGAGAACCCTAAGAGATAGGTAAGGACTATTACCCAGTAATATATTCTTAGTAGGGTGCTAGGAAGTCCTTGAAGCTTTTTCTATATCTTATACGCCACTCATCGTCCTAGTCCTTAGTTTAGAAGAATTTAAACTTATTTTCTAGCGCTAGAATAGTATATACTGTATAAAGATCACTATAGATAGTATCTATTATAGAGTAATAGTAGTCTAGCTTTACCTAACTAGTATATAGCGCTTAAAGTATAGTTTTCTTCTATCGCGCCTTTTTTCTTGCTAGCTAAGAGATCGACTACTTAAGATGCTTAAAGAGGAGGTTATATATCCTAAAGATATAATAGGAAGTCACATCCTTAGTCTTTAAGAGCTTAATAGTAAACTCGTAGAAAGGTTACGTAATCCAAAGAAGATAGTTAACCTAGCGCCACTCTTTATTATTTAGTTAAAGATCACTTCGATCCCATTCATTACAGAAGGGTATAAAGATTAACTAAAGTCTTCTTACACGTCGAAGCATTAGGTATATAGAGTTCTAGTGGGTTTTTATATCCTAGATTAGAATAAGCTTTATAGCATCTAGCTAGAGTGTGAAGAAGGTCTTCTAGCGCTAAGGGCTTACATTAATAAATATAGCAAGGTTGCGAACCTATTTAAAATATTAGTACTATATTATAGTGAAGGGAAAGTTAGGTGAAAGCATCTTACCTTACTTAGAGTAGTAGCAATATCTCCTTTCTTTATATTTGCCTAGGCAAACTAAGATCGCTGCTCTATCCACTAAGTATTAGTGGTATTATTAATCGGAATCGCTTTTATATATCTAAGTAAATCATTTAAACTTAATTAAATAACATAAGCAAGACATAGAACCCTAATTAGCGTAGTATCCTCTAGGAGTGACTTCTATAATTTAGCTATTAAAGTATTATTATTTAAAGTATTATTAGTAGTCACTATAAGTACTTAGTTCTAGATTTAATGCTTCTATAGAATACCTAAGAGAACTACGCTTAGGTTAGCACTAAAGTGCTTTCCATAAATTAGTTCAAACCTAAGAAGGACCTCACAACACTGCCAATCCTTAGTAATAAAGTAGCCACTTATAGCTATAAATACCTAAGAGAATAGGGAGGTCTAGTAGTTAAGTGCAATTAAAAGCTTTATATTATCAGGAAGCTTTCGGAGGATATCCTGCTATCTTAGCTAAATAAAGCTTTATAGCTAACGACGAATAGTCTTTACGGAGGGAATATCTAGCATTAATAGAGCGGATTAGGCGAGTTAAATAAGGCTAAAGAACTTAGGATATTTAATAAGCTAAAATAGAAGACGAGCAATAGTAAGAAAGATAAGAAGCTTTTCTTCCTAAGCCTCTTAGATAAAGCTTTTCTTATTCGCTATTATTAAACCCTAGGGGAGAGTAAGATAAAATCAAAATCAGGAGATAATCACTTACCTTTAATTATATAAACTTTATTAGGCTAGATTTCTATACGCTATTATTAGAAGATCTTAGATAGCTAGCGCTTTTAATATACCTTAGCATTATAGAGGTTCTATGCCGAGCTATTCCCCCTAGCTTAAAAGAATAGGGATACTTAAGAATCTAACTATAGCGTTTATATATAACCTTTAGTGCACTATTTTAGGTATTAGCTACTTAATGAAATTGCTTCTAGATATCTAAGAGGTGGACTAAGTCCTATTATATCTTGCTTGACTTCCTATAGCTAGTCTCGAGCTACTAGTTCACCCACTTAGAATATATTTCTATGTTATAGAGAGTAAAGCCTTTCTTTCGACTAGGACTAATAAGGGTGAGAGAGGGAGGTATCGTAGGAGGAAGAGGAGGTAGTCGAAGAAACTTAGTATCAAAGGAATCAAATATCTACTAACTACTTAAAGGATTAGGTGTAAATAACTACGCGTTCTTAGGAATAAGGTAAGTAATATTATTAATATCACTCTTATAGATAGATAAAGAGAAAACCTCAGAATTCTGACTCTAAGATATAGCTATAAGGCAAAAAAACGGTAAGGGGAAAGTAAGGACAGTGTAAGTAGAACATACTTAAAATCTTTAGGACGCCAGTCGTCTATAGACCTACAAAACAATAATTAATCAAGGATATTAATATATTAGAAACTAGGCCCGCTAAGCCTAGTTAATACTATATAATTAGTTAATGCTTGCTTATTTTAGAGGGTTAAGCCTAAAAAGCCAGCAAAAGCCTATAGAAAGCCCACAAAAGCCCACAAAAAACCCACAAAAGCCCATAAAAGCCCACAGAAAGCCCGCAGAAGCCCATAAAAGCCCACAGAAGCCCATAAAAGCCCGCAAAAGCCTATCTAGAGCCTAATTAATCTTAATATCGAACCGCGCAGAACCCGAACCGCAAAGGATCGAAGCAGAAACTATAGTATACCTTATACGATTCGACACTATATCGAATTGCACTCTATTTTCTAACAGTCGTCAGAATACTAGTGCCAAAGCTTCCAGAACTTATTAAGCGTACGTTAGAAAGTAAAGTAATAAAGATTTCTTGAGATCATCCATAAAGATATATTTAAACCACGTTGTGTTAAATATATATTCCTGCAACCACCCCCCACCTTTCCTTAAATATCCTACTAACAGCGTAAGGCTATGATTCTTTTACTCTTATATCTAGTAATTAAACTATTACTGAATCTATTATATTAGAATACCAGTAAATTTCTCTTAATTTCAGGGTGTTAATACATTAAATATTGAAGAAGTTATAGTAGTGACTAAAACAGGCGTAAGGTACAGTATTTTATTTAGGTGAATCAGCAGCTTTATGACCGCCAAGACCTTGATTTTATGAAAAGTTGGGCTTTCGAGGGGGCCCATTAGGGGCCCGCAGTGGGCTATGGGTTGGGCTCGGGCCCGGAGGGTTGAGCCCAAAGCCCACGCGGGTTGGGCCGTGGGCCCGGACTCTGGGCCCAATCGTGGGCTTTGGCGAAGTCTACCCAAGGATAGCGCTTATGAATGCGTTTATAGCCCCATCTAGCAGCCTGTGAGAGCTCACATATACGCTCACGTAACGCAGGTGTAAATTCAGACCGCGGTGCCATCGTAGATACCAAAAAAAGGAGATTCAGGAGGTGTAGAGGGTTTAACGCGCAAAAACGCGAGATTATTGAGCTACTACTAGCGTGTTTCTAGGTAGGCGGTGAGGGGGCGGTGTAGGATGTAGGTGTAGGGGGGGGTGTCGAAACTTTTGCTGCGTCACTGTAATTCGCTGTGGAACAAAGTGTCTGAGCCTGAATGGTGTATTCGGATGTAATGAAACGAATGGTAATGTATGGTATCTTATTATATGAATAGAATATGAATTAATCATATATTCATGAATAATGCGAATATGAATAAAGGGCTTATTCATATTCATATTATTCAATTCATATTATTCATATTCTCAAACATTCATGAATATTCATGAATAATCATATTCCTTTCGGATCCCTACACATCTCGTTCGTGACTATCTTACTGAGCTAGGATATGAGGTTTTGGACTGGCCACCTATCTCGCCTGACCTTAACCCTATTGAGAACCTCTGGATGCTGCTTAAGCAAAAGATATATCAGCTTCAGCCAGAGCTATTGCATATGCGCAATAACGACGCTACTTTAGAGCTTATGATGGCTACAGCGCAGCGGGCATGGCAAGAGCTTGATCTCTCTATTCTAGAGCACCTATCAGAGACAATGTCCCATCGTGTGGAGGCTATCATCAAGTCAAATGGCTGGTATACTAAATACTAGTATAAGGGTAGGCAAATTCATGGGCGGTCTTCAGGGGGGGGTCGGAGACTTTTGCGGTGCCACTGTATATGCAGTTAGCCATTCTCGCAGTCTATGGTGACTCGTGTTCGTTTCTGGTTGGCTGATCTTCCCCTAGAACGCAGAAGGATGTTTTCTTTGGATATCTTTTCGACCTGCGTATGAAAATGTAGTTGATCTACATCGGAAAACTACAACTATGAACCTCCTTCATAGACAGTGTATGCGCACGCGGCAAAGCCCCGCTTTTCTACCTTCCAATTCGGTCTGCCAGGGCACATTGTCGACGGGGCTTGGGGGCGCAGCCGTCGCGTCCATTCCTATTGGTCCTCACCCATAGTAGATTTCTCTCGGTGCTTGTTGTGCTCTTTTGACCCTTGTTCTCGTGAAGAAGTGCCATCAATAGCGTTCACCATGCCTCTGAGCCACCGTAATCTTGCAGCAGCCGCAGTGGAAGAACGGTTTATGTCTGGTCGAAGAGCGGCCCGATAGGTCCCGTTCCAACCACTGGCTCCTGCTTGTTTTGTTACAACGAGCGTTCCTCATAGACCGATTCTAGCAAGAGCATAGTATCCATAGCGTTGCTTTTACTTTTGCGCGTCGCCGGGGAGCACGTGCCATTCTGTGGGCAATGGTCGATAAATCATGAGATACTGGCACAACGTGGAGACAATACTCTGATCCTCTATTGGGGCTGGCCCAGCTTGACATATTAGCACCAGGAGACGCCAGAAGTGCTACAAGCGGGACAAAATAAGACAGAATACGTATGAGAGGAGAAACTGCGCTTGATGGTGATCTCCTATTACCTCAACAGGCGTCATCCGTCAATATGCTCATCGATATCGTTGATCCCGACCGAGATAAAGAGCGTACGCGAATGGTAAATCCTTTAAAGTTGGACAACGTCTCTATCGTTTTCCATGTTGTTTCATTGCTCGTTACCATTCCAGTGTTCCATATGACATAGACCAAATTGCTACCCCAAGAATCAGAAGCCGTATCCTGAATTTGTTGGATGTTGCGATAAAGGAGCCACAGCTGGCCAATACCAGGGATGCTCTGGAGCAAATGGCTGAGAGCAATAGTCCGATCTATAGTTCGGGTCTTTGTGCATGTCTTTCGAGGTGCTTAGGGTCTCCTGAGATATTGCGGGCGGAGGTATGCTGAAAGAATCCGCCTTCGAACCTGTCATCATCGAATGGTCTAAAGCGGACGACGGCGGTAATGTTTGGTGACATTGTATCGTCGGCGGGCCACTGTAATTGGACGACGGGCTACGATCTCCACCTGGGAAACGCCCTTCACACTCGGTATCTGACGCTAAATTGGGGCCAGCATGTTCCCGAACGGACGGCCCGTGCTCTTGGTAGATAGCCCCAGGGGGGTGAGTTTGCGTCACCACGAGCAGGGTATTAGGTTCTGTTTCCAATCAGCGTCATGTCCTCCTGCAATCACGCAGTATCACCTACCAATCTTTCCGTCCATAAATCGCTCTTCCATCTGTCGCACGTAATAAATCTCATCTAGGATTTGTAGACGGTCTGCCGGCATGATCTGGCAGCGCACGTTTTGACCAGCTCTCCGGAGCTTGTCTGCTGTGACTCCGTGGGTGTCTTTGAGCTCACACAGTATATGGATAAGGAGTTCAAGTCGGTCTTTATCCCCCTTTGATTATTATTGGAACCAAACGCTTCGCATCAATGACTTACCGCGCTTCGGTAGATGATCCGGTTCTCTGTGTATCACACCAGCAGGCCACCATCTGGGCTTGGTGAGTTCGGGATTGATGCGTTGTGGTATGCCGGAGATTGTTTTGCGCCCGTTGTAAGGGTATTGTACCTGCTTTCGCGGCTCGACCAGTTTGACGTATGACTTAGCAATGACCCGGCAATTTAGTTGCTGTAGATTTTCAAAAGCCTTTTCATAATATCGTCGCAAAAGTACACTATTACCGACCCGAAGACGCGTTCTCTGCGGTGGGGACGGAGGTCGTGTTGTAGGCTTTGGCCGAGGATGGGAAATCCGCGTTCGCTTTAGATCTCGTCGCTTGGGAGGCCACACGCAAGGTATTAACCCACCTGGCCTAGTCTGGTCGGTGTGTATCCATCCAGTGTTCGGCTGCATGCTCGCTAGGGACGGAGTAGTCTGGGACAGGCCTGCTACCAAGGTTGACAATGAGTCGCAGTCAAGATAATCATACCGGGCCAGTTACTCACTGGGATTGAACAGCGGGTCTGTCCGAGCATTTGGCGCCATTTCCATGAATCGGCCTACCACATCCGACGTGAAGATGGCTCCGCCGCCACCGGCAATTGAGGGCGAAATGTCCACCTCAGGATTGCAATTCTGATCATAATAGATCTCTGCATAGCGCGAGTATAGAAAATCAAAATTCGTGCTTTGGTTATAAGAGATCAACTAAACCATGGCCTGTAAGTGAACGATTTCTTCATTTCATCATACGCGAGACTCACGTCATGTTGTTGCGCCACGCGGCCATCGGGGTACTTTAGATCGAATCCTTCTCTGAATCCGTTCTTCGGCAATCTCAGGTCCATATTGTTGGTCGGAGGCGTTAATTACAGGGTATTTTGGGCTTCAAGAGAGTGGACATGAATCTCTTCAGATAAGAAAACCTTAGCGTCAATCGCAGGATGGTTGCTTTTCAGGTAGCGTAATTATAGTGCCGCTTCCCGGGTACTCTGCTTAATCCAGGGAGCTTCCAGCGGTGAATTGTGGTTGAAACCAGTTTTGTATAGGTTCCAAACTAGTTAGTTATAGACCGGAAGGCGGACTGTGGAGCAACTCCTTGGAGACTTTCTAGAATAGGAAGGACTCTCTTTCAGGAAGTGTTACTTGTATTCCGGGAAGGGGTATGGTATTTAGACCCACCTTCCCCCCTAGCTGAGATCGCCCGAACTTAGTATTGGTACCCCCATCATGTGCTTGGATGACGCACTAGTAACAGAAGACTTGGCGGGTACCGGCCCGTGTATACCGGTGGTCCCAGCGCAAGACTGTGGATGCTTGTCCGGGTAGCATTACAGATTCGCCATCCAGCTCGGATTTGCCTGGAAACGTCGGGTTTGACCAAGTAGAGCAACTTGGTAGTTCGTTACTTCGCTTAAATCGAGGGAACTATTACACCGTAAATCACCGTCTGACAATCCCCGAGCCTTTCTCAGCCACAGAACGGCGGACCCCGAAAGCCGCCAGAACAAGGCGAGCAGAACCATCCACTTCAAGCCAGAAACAGGAAAAAATCGCATACAGTGGGGCAGGCTGCGTCAAGGTCTTTAGCTCAAATAGTCCCGTGGCGTACCCACACCGCTTCGGGTGTTGGTCCCCCAAAGCTCAACGAGTTTTCAAAGCCCAACAATCTATTTAGTACTATTCCCCTTCAATATATCAACCTCCACCATGAAATGTTCGTATTCAGCTATTGAGCAGCGTATTAAAGCGGCTTGCCAGACCGCCAGAGTGCGAAAAAAACACAAAAATCGCCCCGTTGGCGCGTGAATTCGACGTCCCCGCACAACGGCTGCGGGCGCGTTTGAACGGCCGCCAATCTCGATCAAGTCGCCCTACCCTCTCCAAACGCCTGGATGAATCGCAGGAAGCGGCGTTAGTTCAGTGGATTAATACCCTTGATTCTCTACACGTTCCGCCTACAGCTAGTATGGTGGAAGCGAGTGCGAACGCGATGCTTCGGAGAGCTACCGAACCGGACGAAGAACCACCAGATCCCGTGAGCGAAATGTGGGTATATAACTTTATTAAACGCCTATCAGATGGTCTATATTGGGTGAAGCAGAAGCCAGCGGAGAGAGAGAAGATATTAGTATCCTACAAGCCTGGTATTGTACATCTGTCATTGATCCCATTGGTGCATCCGTATGATCCACTCCTCTGTGTTTCCGAGATTTACAGATAGGCACGTGGCCCCCACCCCAAGTCAGGTGATCCACTTCAGAGGGGGCTTGACAGCCTCGCAGGCTCTCAGGGCCTCATTTTGAAAGTCCCACATCACGTCTCTGAGTCTCCAATTGAACGGATCGTGCAACCATGTGGGATCAGGAACTTGCAGAGTTGCTCAAACTCGACATTACTCTTCTGTCTAATGACCGTAGTAGGGAGGTGGTGTTGAAACCGCCTACAGGCCAGTACTTGAAGCAGGAAAGACAGGTGATTATTTGGACTCGCAAACGCGATCTTACTGAGCGAGTCTATGTGGAAGAGTCGCATCAGGGGGAACTACGAGCAGTTAAGCGAGTCGCTTGGCGAGACAAGACGATCGCCAACTACCGTTCTGAATTGGTTGTGCTGGGGAGGCTATCAAAAGCAGCAAGGTACGTTTGTTTCCGAGACCTCCATGACTTTCCGGGTTGTAGCTATAATAACCATATATCAATCTCTGCTACAGTGTACAAAAAAAGCACTTCGTCGACTTCCTAGGATGGTTCACGGCCACCCTAAGTGACCACGTTTACTTTGTAATGGAATACTGTCGCTTGGACGATATATCCGTGTGCTATCCTAATCCACTACCAGAAGCAGTAACCTGGTCTATCTGCGAACAGTTGCTGGAGGCTCTGTCTATATTACATGAACTTGGAATTACTCACCGTGATGTTAAACCACAGGTAATTCCCTCCCTATATTGACAATTGGCATTACTAAGAGGGTGATAAGAATGTACTCGTTGTGGAGAAGACCCCGATCTGGGTCAAACTGGCAGATTTTGGAATCAGCAAGCTTACGCAAGAAGACGAAACTGAACTGCGGACAAGGATTGGAACGGACGGGTATATGGCACCAGAGGTTTTTGGACTTCTGGACGACTCGAGAGAAAGTTCAAGCTATACAAGCGCAGTTGACATCTGGTCACTTGGATGTTTGCTATACTACACCTTGACCAAGCGTACACCTTTCTCTACGTTTTTGTCGCTTCAAGCCTATGCTAAAGGTGAAGCCGCTTTCCCTGAACAACCTTTGTATGAAAAGTGTGTCTGCTTTAGTGGTCGGGCTTTCATTCAAAGGCTTTTATTGCCATCACCAGAAGCTCGTCCCAGGGCCTCAAAGCAGTTGCTTGCCAATTGGATCATGGATGCCAACGCCAAACCAGATCCACCCTCAGCACTAGACCCAGACGACCTCGTAGGCATGTCCGCATTCCAACCGCTTTCCAACAAGAACAGTTCAACCAAATATGAGATGGGTCCTACATCTCTCCCTTCTCCACCTGGGCTGGAAATGGTATGTTTGTATATTGTATGGTCAACCGACAAAGACAGTGTTGACAATATAGATACAGGATTATTTTTCATTTGAGCTATGGAATTTGATCGGGAATACCCAATCTCTGACCGAGACACTCGAAGCCAGTGCTGGAATTCCCAGAGTCTATGTGGGAGCTTTGAAAAGTGTCGCTGAAGCTGCTGCAGAAAAGGCAGTAAAAGAACACGCTGAATACCTGATAGAAATCAACAAATTACCCAGACCAAGCACAGATCGACTTCGAGCACTCCTTGACGAAGGGGCGAACCCAAACATACTTCACAATGGCTACACCGCGCTTCATCTCGCCACAATGAACGGCTATATTGAGTGGGTGACGATCCTGCTCCAGTATGGTGCAGATATGAAGATACGCACTGAGAAGCACGAGAGTTCTGTCCTTCATTTAGCCGCCTCGGAGATGTGCCAGGGGTATTACTTATTAGGGTCAAAGATGGTCAAGTTTTTTCTCGACCAAGGAGCTGACCCGGATCTCCCCAATGTTGTCGGACGCACTCTATTGCATGAGATGGTTCGCGCTGCAGCCTGTCATAAGACGGAGCCGTACGCCTTGGACTTGATTCGTTGGCATGTTGGGAACTTGATGAAGCGGGGAGTCTCTACAGAGCACAAGAACCTAGGGGGACATACCCCACTCAGCTATGCAATAACGTTTAGACTCGGGAAGATGGCGACTTTGCTCTTAGAGAGTGGATCCAGGCCAGATACCGTCGACTTCAAGGGCCGAACACCTTTACATCTCGCCGTCGCATCAGACAAAGTGAGCGCCGAATTCGTGGGGCGGCTCATAAAAGCTGGAGCTAGTGTCAGCCAGGAAGATATGCAGAATCACTCACCCCTGTTTGTGGCCGCTAGTAATAATGTGAGAGGTGAGGTCATCAACCTTCTACTTGATTGCGGTGCAGACTGTGAATTCGAGGACGCAGTCGTGATGAGACGCATTAGGCGCGTGAAATACTGGCGGAAGGTGAAGAAAGGCCTCTTCAAATCTGCGTGATGTTCCGATCTTTGCCTCTCAACGGATGCCTTGCGACGTAGGGTGAGAGTTTAGTCGCTACACGCCAGATTCTCAAGACCCTCCAAGATCTGCGTGTTGACTTCTTGCATTTCTAGGAGGATTCTAGCATTTCAAGGAGAATCAAGCATGCCAAGATCAGGAGCATTTTGAGAGCGGCATTCCTTTCAAGGACAATGGTCCGATACGATGGAGTCGCTCACTATTAGATACGTAATCACTTCGACTCTTTTTGTAACGTGCCAATCGAGATGAGGACAACCGTCCGCATTCGGTGCTACCAACGAAGGAATCAAGTCTAAGGAGAGAAGAAGAAGAAGGAAAACTACGAGAATGCGAGTTGGGCCTTTTGTGGGCATCCGGCCTCAGGCATCTTCCCATTTCGGAAACGTCCGAAGAGGAACCAGGTGATCGCAAGTGGGCACTTAGGTCGCTGCAAGGGTCACGTGGCTTTTTTGGCAAACGAACAGATTACAGGTCACTACACCTAGGCCGAAAGCTCGCTACACCTAGCCCCACTTTTCTTTTCTGAGCTCACTGCACCCATCTCGCATTCCTACTTACTAATCATTGTATGCCATGGTAACAAGGTATTTTACCTACATACTGTATTTGTTTTGGCTTGTTTTCTATTCCTCACTATCACTACTATCACTATGGCGAATAGTAATCAACCTATCTGGAAGGACTATGAGCATCGGATGATCCATGATCTTATACGTTTTGACCCTACACCTGAACCGACCGACGACGCCTTTGAATTCGGGGAGCAGGGTGATCTCCAAGATCGTCACGCATCGATTCCAGACCCAAACGACGTAAATATATATCTGCATTGACAACATACAACTCTTCACCAACTAGTTTCTAACTATTTCTCTAGCACCCTGACCCTCTTCCAATGCCCTTAACAGATCGATCAACACATGCTATATCAGCAGCATTTATTGAGCATGTGGCCTTGCTACCTGAGTATCCACAAACGCATAACGCTGGGTACGCATACGTGGTGAACCTCGAAAATATTAAGCCCCACCAGGCGAAAGACACACTTAAATCGGTAGGGGTCGCCTTTAAACTAGTTATTAACTGGTTACTAACTAGATAGCCGGTATAGATCCAGTACTCGTTTAAAGGCAAAGGTGCAACATCCAACGTTTTTCACGCCCGGCGCGGTCACAAATCCGCATTCTTCGCCATAATTTGGTGGGTGGACTCACTTTTTACGTATTTCTCCATATAATCTGCCCATTTCCTGCACACCCTGAGCTGAGTGTGCAGGAATTTTTTTGCACCTATCTACCTTAGTCATATAAATCCCCGATTAATCATAATGCAGAATTCCATCCCTTCCACCCCGTTATCTGTGACCCTCTCGGCCAGGATGCCCTCCGAAAAGAGAGCGAACAAGGGCATTTCTGACGCGCATAAGAAAGCTCTACGTATCTTTGCATCCGAAACGCGCCCTAAGCCCTCTCAGAAAGTATGTGCCGAGTGGTTTCTATCTAAATTCGGCCGCCCTATTAATTGGACTACCGTCTCGAGGGTCCTTTTATCTCAATACGACTATCTTGATACTGGTGAAGTAGGGATTAAAACCCGGAAATCGACTGCGTAGTGGCCTAAATTGGACTAGGCCCTCTTTAAATGGTAGCGACGACATATAAATGCTGGGTTTCCGATATTAGGGCCACTTATTCGGATGAAAGCTGTCGAATACTGGAAGAAAATACCCGTATATGCTGAGCTTCTAGTCCCCCTTTTCTCTGATGGTTGGCTCACCCAGTTTAAAAAACGCCATTCGATCCGATATTATACCTTTCACGGCGAAGCTACATCGGTCCTAGCCTTAATACACGGGGAGATAAAACCTCTCAAGGCGATCTACGACCAATATCAGCCCGATGATATCTATAATATAGACGAAAAAGGGCTTTTCTAGCGTTTAGTGCTAAACGGTGGTCTATCGATGGATGGTTATACTAGTCAAAAAAGAGATAAAACCAGGATTACTATTGCTGTGGCAACTAATACCACTGGTTCAGACCCGATGCCTCTTTAGTTAATTGGGACTGTAAAGACGCCTCGCGCCCTACGGGGTGTAAATCTCCGTTCGATCGGATGTATCTAGCGCTAGAATAACAAGGCATAGATGCGCCGTGGAATTATAGGAGAATGGCTACGCTCGTTTTATAGGTATATTGGCAAGCAAAGACGAGTCCTGCTATTGCTGGATAATTTTTCCGCCCACCTCCTCGCTGTTGATGAAGCGCCGCCGCCGTCCAACATCAAGGTAGTCTTTTTCCCTGCAAACGCGACCTCGGTTTACCAGCCATTGGACCCGTCAGATGGAAACATCGACGTCAGCGACCCTGATTTGTCCGATATAATCGCTGATTTATCTGACGACGGTCTCACTAGTGCCAATGATGACCAGGATGAAGATTATATATATAGCCACCACCCGAGCTGTTATCTGATGCAAAGGCAGCCTTATTAGTTATATGCATGAGGTTATAGAATGTGTTCAGCATAAAGACGGTGCTACGGACGAGAATATTCGACATATGGAGAGCCTAATTGGTGACTTTACAAGGTTATAGGTGGATAGGAGAAACAGAAAACGTTGGATAAGATGGGCTTCCTCCCAAAGAGGAAATAATGTATATAAACCGTCCTGATTAGATTATGTCATCCGATCATAATGTGCACACATCCGGTGTGTGCAACCCAATCTGGTGGGATGGTAGGGTGTGCAGAAAGCGGAAGTTGACTGTATGTAAATAACAGTATTTAAATTAGATGAATCAGCCGAATTATGTACGCCAAGACCAAGATTTTATGTAAATTCGGGTCAAGATGGGTTATTTGCGAGTCTTTAAATCTGAATTTATAACCCGCTGGGTTGGGTTCGGGTACGGGTTGAAGGTCTCGACCCGCATTGCGGGTTATGGCGCAGTCTAAATATAAGCCAGGTTTATCAGGCAGGATGGGTTCGGATTAGTTAAATAACTAGCGTTTGCCTAAATCTATATCGTTATCTGCGACTTGCGGATATGATAATTGATTATCCTCGATTGTGCCGCAGCCTAGACCTTATGTTTGTTCCGTTGATGGTTTACAGGCTTTCTTACCTAATGCATATATGGCTAGTTAGCACACGCCGCATTCTTCAACCGACCTTGGGACATTATATTCGCCTAAGCAGTAATCAATCGGAGTGCACAATAGACCCTTAAGATAGATCGGTGGGAGATTCAACTGCACCTAGTGCGTAAAGATGTTTTTAGAAGAAGTGGGCAAATCGTGAATTTAATCCACGCAAAAATTGCCTTCCATCAATATATTAGCCGATGCCTACGAACTAGATTAAAGTAGGGCATCTCGGGAGTGTTATAGGCCCACGACAGTTACCCACTAATAGCCCGCTCCTAGTTAATTAAGGTAGTTAAGTGGGGATTTCGTATAGTATTATGTTATATAGTCTAGCTACAATGGTAGTAAATAGTATTATTGTAACAACGAGCAATTAAATAGATTTGCTGCCTCTTTTCTATTATTAGCGGATTAGTTAATTAGCTAAGGAACACCAGAAAATGCCCACGTTAGGTCGCTAGGTGGTTCAAGACGCTGTTTTACGCGATTGTGGAAAAGATGCCCGTGATTTTAGCTCAAATTATATATCCACACCGGCCCCCGTCTCATTCCTAATTAGCAATAGCAGATAATCAAGCGTATATATATCTCCCGTAGATTAGAGAGGGGTATTAATCATACTCCTACAGTAGTCACCTATATCCCCTCGCGGTCTCAAAGGTGCTCGACACTAACAGCGATATAATTAGGCTTACTATTGCGCGGTATCTCTACGTTCCAACTAAGGTCACGGCTTACAGGCATATAAATCGAAGACCCAAGACCCCTATGCCCTACGTTTATTGTTCGGCGTAGGCCGCTCGGAAAACCAGAGGGCGTGCAAAAAGGGCTAGACTAATAGCACTCCGAGTGTTCAGTGGGTCCTGGTATGGCCCCCAATTTCTTAGGGTATATATTCTATCTCGGTTCCTCTACGTACTAAACCCTTGCCTAGTTCCTAGCTTATGACGTGATCTGCTAAACGATTTGAGTGACTATATCGAACGATACTCTTAACTAGCACTTGGGTTACGAGAATCAATGGTTTACAAGGCGTGACACTAGATTATCCCGAGCCTCCGACCTTTAGAGTGTTCCCGAATCTCGTGCTGTTTCGGAGAATCCAGATTATGATTACGAGGAGGAACAATCTTATATATACGAGAATCAGCCACCGCTAGACGGTGCCAGCCATAAGCTAGTATAGAATAGATATTGCGCCTCGGGAGCCCACTACGGCGACGGATTGGCTTAGGATAGAGCTTTCAAGCCTCCTAGAAACAATATCCTTAACCTTTGCACCTAGTATATCTCTAGTTGACCCTCTAAATAGCCCCAGCCTAGCCCTAGCTAACACTTCTTCTAGCCTATATAACTATATAGAGTGAGTATAGCCTTAGCTAGTTTGATTTTTATAAATCGCTACAACTTAATTTGAATTAGTTATACTAACTCGATAGGACAGTGGTCTAGAGCAACAGTTCCTACGATAACACGACTAGAACCAAAATACGTAGTAAGGGATAGAGATAGTGGCCTAGTAATATAATGAGATCTCTGCCCTCTAAAAAACCGTGGCTATATTAGAGGCAAAGATCAACGATCTATATAAAGCTAAACTAGGTAGGCCTAAGCGTTAGCCGCAGTAGGCCAAAAAGGATAAGGTCAGGAGTTAAATAAATCAAGGAGAGACTCGACGTAGAGAAGAGGGAGATCCAGACCCTCTACTTTAATAAAATGATTTCTTAGCTACTATTTTTGTATTATATATAGCTAGATCATACCCACGCCTTTAGGAATAGTGTAGTCAGTCTTAGCAGGGGCGAGCTCTATCCTTGTAGGCCCACTATATTAGTATTTAAGTATATTATAGCTAATCATACCGTCTAATTGGCCCCGTCCGTGGGAGGCATACCTCTAACATATTAGTGGCCTCGACGATCCTTCAACGAACGTCTCGTTATCACCTTGGGGGTAGGGGCTTGCCAGCCAAGAGACATAAAATGTATTTTAATATTTAATTGATACACTAATCAAGAAGGCCGCTCTTACTCTAGCCAGACTCGATCTCCCTCTCTAGATAGGCCTATATTTCGTATATTCTTAGATAGCGTCGTAGTATATAAGGTATCTCTCTAGACCTCGGCAAGGACCGGGTCCGGTCCTAAAAGTTAGGACCGGGACCGGACCATGCGGTCTTTGGTCTTTTTTCAAAGTAGTCAGGACCGCACCACGGTCCCCCGCGGTCCTTTGCGGTCCCCCGTGCGGTCCCCCGCAAATTCATAATTATGCCAAGACCTTCCTTTTCTGGCCGTATAAACCGATTATTCAGCTGCGTTTTTTACTGTTATTAAACACTGTTTTGGTATATACGCGAATACTAATAATAAATCAGGTCTACCAATTAACAAAATAGGTGAAATCACCTCGTATTTATTTTCTTGAAGCTTCGTATTAAGTTAATTACTAATGAAGTTTGAATTTCGGATCGTTGTGGTAAGTATTTTAGAATATACTTGTGAGAATGCGAAGATATATATTTTATGGTAGGAGGACACATACGTTTACAAGTGTCGTGTCTACTACTATCCCCACTATATTTCTGACGGCCGTCAGAATTAAGGCTATCTACGGCATAGAAACTGGTGATATCCCTACTAGTTTTTCTGACGGCCGTTAGAAGCTACGGCCTAGAAACTGTTGATACTCCTACTAGATTTCTGACGGCTGTCAGAAAAGAAACTAGTCAGTGCGGATTGGGTTGCTTGTGGGTTCTAATAAGTTCTGACGGTCTTTGCGGTCCTTATGCGGTCCTTATGCGGTCTTTGCGGTCTCCTGGCGGTCCCTGCGGTCTTAGACCGCAGGGATCATAGCGGGGTAGGTTTTATCAGCCAATCACGGTCTATAATTTAGTTCGTTCTATCTCAAATTATTTACCTATCACTTTCTTCAGTATTGGTACCCCCTATTATTTCTTTGTCTAGATAAAAAGAGAATTGTATGTCTTTCCTATAACTCTCAAGCCCTACTACCTACCTTCTCTTTCATATTATTTATCAATATGTCACAGAGCCACGCATCCCAATTCTCCGATAACTATCCCTCATCCATCTTTGAAGATAACCCTGTGGATGCACTCTCCTTCCTTACATCTGATGGGCCGTTTAACCTAGACGGACACGAAACACCAACCTCTACTCCAAGTGTGACTTTCACACGGCCAGTAGTACCTATCCTGATTCCAGAAACCCTTGAGCGTGTTGGGCCATGTGGCGGGAAGAAGTATATCCTTTGGACAGAGATGTTTAACGAAGATTTTGTCGCCTGGTGGTTAAAAACTGAGTACGGAAGTGCAACAAAACGAAATATCTTTGAGGGTAAACGACAGGCAGGCTCTTGGGAGCACTTCCACCAGGTTGCTACGATCTCTGATGGATCCCCTAAGGTGATGTGTAAGCAGTGTGATCATATCCTTGCTCATCCTGCCGACCGGCACCGGGGAACGTCTACTATGAATAGGCATTTCTTACAGGCCGCTACCTGTCAAAAGCGAAAGACTAAAACACATGATATCAGAAAGATGATCTCGAATGGGGTATGAATATTATCTATATAGCTCATTTTATACTAACTAAGATGATTATTTCTAGGCAAACCTTCCGTCTCGCAAAAAGGTCTTTTCACCAGGAGCTTGGATGGATAGGTTAACTACCTTTATTGTTGCTTTACGCCTACCATTTCAGCTCGTTGAGCACCCTGAATTTCGCGCCCTTATCGAAATAGCTTCGTCTGCCCCAACTATCCCTGAAATTCCTGGTGCTAGGACTATCCGTCGGCATCTTCAGGAGACAGTCAGGGAACGTCAGGATTCTCTACTGCAAACATTCCCAGAGGGCGCCAAGCTTTCTATAGCATTAGATTGCTGGACCTCCCCTTTTCGCCAGGCTTTTATGGCAGTCACAGGCTACTTTATTGACCTTGAGTGGAACTACCGTGAGATCTTACTCGGCTTTGAACCTCTACGTGGCTCCCATACAGGCGCTTATCTAAGTAGTGTACTACTTGAGTTACTTGAGAAGCACCAAATTACCAACCGCGTGCTTACGATCACTACTGATAATGCATCGAATAACGATACATTACTGACTACTCTCGAAGAGGCAGTTTCGTCTCTTGAGCTGCCTAGTCATATACCGATTATTCGTATACCATGTATTGCACATGTTATACAGCTCAGTCTCAAGGAGCTCCTTGGTCAGATGGATGCGAACCCATTGAATGATAGGGAAGAGATGGAATGGGCCGATCAGAGATATAGCGCCCGGCAAGAGAACAGACAGATTGTGCAAACCCTGAATAAAGTATATTACCTCCCTCTTTCCACTATTATCTTTCTATCTAATACTAACTATTCATTCTCCTCTAGGTTCGGAAGATTGCAGTCTATATCAATAAAAGCCCCCAGCGCCGCGAGAGCTTTATCGGACTGCAGACAAAAGAACCGAAACTTATGCCAATCCAAGATGTCCGAACACGCTGGAATTCCACATTTCTTATGCTTCGGCGCGCACGTCGGCTACAGACTACATTTAATGGATTTTGTGCACAGTTCAATCTGACGGATATGAAGATGGATAAAGATGAATGGCGACAGGTTGACTATCTACTGTCAATTACCTATCCCTTCTTTAAATTCACTTCATCTTTATCAGCTACAACTGATGTGACTATCCATAATGTGTTTGGGATCTACAATGCCTTATTTACCCACGTTGACAAGGCAAAGGCGCAGCTAGCACGAAAGAAAGTCGGGTGGAAGAAGGTAATGAAGCTGGCGCTAGAGCATGGGCGCGATAAGCTTACGGAATATTACGGCAGGACTGATGATATTCCAAATGATCTCTATGCAATTGGAACTATCTTAGGTCCCCGCAATAAGCTTGAATTCTTCTTAACACTAGAATGGGAGACACACTGGGCACCGCGGTATAAGCAGTCCCTTGAGACTTATGTCCAGCCTTACCAGCAGCGTCATATAGAGGCACAGTCAATATCAACTATCCAGTCAATGAGCAACGATATTTCTGACATTGATATCCTTCTGAGACCTACTACATCTCTCCAGTCAAGACCGACCACTTCAGATGAACTCACAAGGTATCTTGGAAGTAGTAAGTTTAATATCTCTCCCTCCTATATGATTACTTTTATTAATCTAATACTTTTCTAGGTACTGTCCAATCAACACCACTAGTATTCTGGAAGGCTCATGAGGCAGAGTATCCTATCCTCGCAAGCCTTGCCCGAGATATCCTTACAACTCCAGCTAGTGGCTCTGGGGTAGAGAGGCTTTTCAACTCTGCTCGCGATATATGCCACTATCGCCGGGGATCGTTAAGACCACAGACTATTCAAGATCTAATGATGTTTATGTGTACAACAAGATTTGATATCCAGTCGGAGCAGCTTGCGCTAGTGGATGAGTTTCTCTCCACCCAAGAGAGGCATACAAAGAAGGAGCAGGATGATGCTGAGCAAGAGACTAAGGAGTATGATCCTATCAGCGATGATGAGGAAGATCCTATAATAGACGCTTCCGTTGAAGTATCTATTGAGCGACCTAGTTTACGCGCGCTAGGGAAAAGAAGGGCTGTTGATGATCAGCTTACTGAGCCAGATGATGATGAGATCCCTTTACCTGATTTTGATATCCAGAGGCGTTCATCAGGGCGGATTCCAAAGAGATTGAGATATGATGAGGATTTTGTATATAATTAGTAGAGACAAAGGGTCATTAGAGGTTAAAATCTTGTTTATTACATAAATCATAAATCATCTACACAAGTGATTTCTGCAAAAATCCTCTTCAATTTTTTCAGTAGGCATCAGCTATGACTATTCCTTATAAAGAATGAAAGTAAAATACTGAAAAATACCTACAGATTCTACATAAAATATGCATATCACGGGGTTTTCTATGTTTGTCCTGTTTACAGGACCGCAGGACCGCACCGGACCGCATTGGTGCGGTCCTTAAAAAGTTGGGACCGTGCCGGTCCTTGAAAAGTTAGGACCGGGCCCTGCATAGTGCGGTCCGGTCCGCGGTCTGGTCCGGTCCCTTGCGGTCCTTGCCGAGGTCTATATCTCTCTCTAAGCATCTCCTTACGCGAGCTCGTTTTATGATGGAGATCTAGAGTGGGCTATATCCCCTAGGTCCGTAGCAAATTATCCGGAGTAGCCCTCGCTCTTGTCTGAGCTCGGGCGGATATCTAGCGCCTATATCCAAGATAAGGGTCCACCTAAAAGCCGTCTTCTTAATTTAGATCTAGCCATTTCGCGCATATATCTAGTCACGCTAGATAAAGTATAGCTTCACTATATCCCAATCCTCGACTACGCATTTCCTTGGAATTATAGCAGTCAAATAAGGATAACTAGAGCGTCGCTATACTTATATTCCCCGGCAAGGAGGCACTATAAGCATAGTAATGACAAGGTATCCTTAGAGCTTACAGCGTCCCCCGTTTATCTCTAAGCCTATTTAAGCGACTACCTATCCTGCTTAATGCCGAGAGATATATAGGTAATTGGCCTTTTAGGACGGTAAATTCCTGTTTCCAATTCGGGGGAAGGTGACCGCGGGAAGTGGATAACTTAGGTTTACGATGGGAAAGACTTACGCGCCACTATTGCTCTATATACGTATCACCGATCGCTGCTTTGGCCTAAGTTCGACCAAATTGCCTTTAAGAAGGTTCGTTATATATAGGAATCTCAAATTAGCGCCGCTAATCCCCAAGCTAATAGATCACTAACGGTGTCCTATATATAAGCGACCCACTAACGTCGATCGGGCGGATCGCTACTATTTTCTATAAGCAGCCGTTATTCCCGTAAGCTCTATAGTTTGGACTTATACGAAGATCCATTAAGTAACCTAATTATGCTAGCCCTATAGCCCCGCCTAGGGAAAGTCTCGAACACCCGCCAAGCTTCGACGATCCTTTCGATAACCATTCCGTCATCGCCTAGAGCTTAGGCCTTATTACCTATATAGAGCGCCAATAATAATAGACTATAATCAATATTAGGAGACCACCCTCTACCGCAAGGCTTTGACCTACTAGCCTCGATCTATAGCTCTTCTCGTTTATTTGGTACTGGTGTTTTTAGGTGGGCAAAGATCACGATAGGGTGATCCTCTCAAATGTCTCACTATCCGCCTCGGACGGTTTGGCTTAGTCGTCCTAGACGAGCACCGTGCGCAAGAGACTCCTACCGCATTAGGCATAGACTGACCTTGCGATCCACTGGATTGAAGGCTTTGTCCCCTTTCAGACGATCAATCTATAGTTTATATTATGGCCAAGACACCATTACGCATAAGATTATAGCCATAGAAAAACACCGCCTAACGAAATCTAATCGTCCTGCCCCTACGCCGTTCTCGAAACAGATATAACTTATTTTTCTTTATCCTATAGCGTATCGATCCGTTCCTCTCGTCGGGCCGGCTCGAATCTCGGCTAACCTACATAAATCTAGGTCTCCCTAGCCCCCGTTAGAGCTATAGTATACTATATCACATCCCTAGGGACAATTATCTCGTCGTTATCTCCTAAGCGTAGTTTCTTGGCCTTAGTATAAACGTAAATAAGCGTGCAGTCTATTTAAGATTATGGCTAATATATAGGAGGGGTGAATCATATATAGGACGCTACACGCTGCACGAAGTGGGGCATACGGTAGTAGAGACATAACTAGTCAAACTCTATCATTAATAGCTTTTATAACTAGCTTATTCCGTCAATCGACGATCATCCATAGAGATCATTTCTTTACCCCAGTTCTAAGATATATAAGTCATTAACGCTATGTTCATTCCGATGTAGGCAGCTTTAACGACTAAGCTAGCCAATCTAGACTAGGAAGTTTACACAACGGTGATCTATCTACGGAAATTAAGTTTTTTTTTCCCCGAGCGTCTTCGCTAGAAGCCAAGGCTCAAGGTAATCTCAATTCACTAGTCGGAGGGGATATACTCTAATTCTATCTAGTAGTAGTCGTTAGTTATATTAAGAGACATACTATTGCCGATACTAGACCGATAGCCGCTAAGCGTATAATATAAAAGAAAAGAAGATTAGATTAATATAGATCTCGCAAAATACTATCTAGCTTCGACGATATCACCCCTTAGGATATTTCTTCGTACGTATTAAAGTCTAGTAGCGCTAGAGCTTCGGATATAGACAGTATCGATGCTATATCATCCGCAACGACGTTATTGTCGAGTATATTAAACTACTCGGGCTATACCTAAGGGCTCTATAGAACATTAGAAGGGGGCATATCTTTAGTTATATAAATATTCTCGACCTCGCTTATAGACTTACCCTTTTTCGATCTAATTACCCTTGTCACGGATGAAGAGAGCTTACTTAACTTATCTAAAGTATTTTCGTATTCGTCCCGTCGCATATAGATCGCCTAGTCTAGTGTTAACTCGTTAAAGCGCTTCTATAGATCTAGATTCTCCTATTTTAGCTAGCGGACCTCTTCCTTAGCTACCTATAGGTCTAAATTGAGCTTTCGTGATTATCCATTGAGCCTAGTTCTCTCGACGCCAAACTACCATATAGTCTCAGCGGCTACCTAACGTTACCTATTAAGCTACGCGACTAGTTACGCGCGATCTCTATTGGCCCTCTTAAAGATAACTCTGCAATTAGCATAATTGGGATCGTCTCTAGCGCTTTCCTACGCTTTATTTTCTAGGATACCCTTCAGTAGTGCCTACTAATAATAGATCTAAAGATTAGCGAGGCTCTTAGATAATCTCTATATCGTGACAATAGCATATTAGTGGTTGCCACCAAATGCCCTAGTTAGAGGGACGAAGTGAATTACTAGCGCTCGTGGGATAAGGCTAACCTACTTAGGCAATAGATACTCTAGCCTATATTCTTAGGGCCGCTTAGAGGGGAGGGGCTCTAGCCTAGGTTCGAGAGAGCGTGGCGTCCCTCGGTATATCTTTTGGGCATAAAAAGATACAATTAAGTTCAAGTAAGATGTAGCAGCTAGTAAACGATATTAAGGAAGCTACTATTCGAAAATGCTTTCGGGCATAGAAAATCTAGGGACTAAACTAATCTTTATAGTGAAAAGAAGCGACCAGTCTATTAATCCGCGCAATAGTGGGGTCTAGTCCGTGAGGGCATGAATTTAGGGACTAAATTAAATAGATATTGATGATCCTACCTAATCCTAGAAATTTTCGGACTTACCCACTAAGCCTTCCTCGAACAGTCAAGCTATACTAGGTCAAATAGACGGTACTAATTAGCCGTTAGCTTTTTATGACCATTGGAATCGACCGAGTTCTAGCCTAGAGGCTCATACTCTAAGTAGGGGCCTAAGTCCGCTGAATTTACACAGTCTATACTATATACTAGAGGTAAAGATATATATCATTTTTCTAAACGAACAAGACTGCTTAGTTCTTAGGGGGCCAGAGAATCCGCACTTCCCTAAGTAGATCGTAGCTTAGACAACTAGTAGGATCTAGGTCGACTCCATAGTGGAAAATACATCTTCTATATACTTATAGGTCCGGCCTACCCACTGACAAGTCGTTCCAAGGGCAAGTCCGTCTTTTCCACGCCAAGGCGCAGTTTCTGGCTAAATAAACACACTCTAACACTTCAAAAAAATCAATATTAGGCGGATAATAGAATCTGCAAGCTCTGAAACGAATCAGTTGAATCGGAGCAATTGGATTTAAGTAATTAGATTTGAGCAATTGGATTTAAGCAATTGGATCTAAGCAATTAGATCTAAGCAATTAGATCTAAGCAATTGGATCTGAGCAATTGGATCTGAGCAATTAGATCTAAGCAATTGGATTTGAGTAATTGGATCTAAACAAATTCAATATAGGCAATTCAATATGAGCAATTGGAGTTGCTCCCCAAAAACGCAAGAACACATAGTTTGGATTCATCTAGACGACGCGATAGTTACACCGAGTTTGCGAAAGAGTCAATTTGTTCATTAATGTCCCTCTCCGCAGCTACAGTGATTCTCGAAATCGCCTTGACCAACATTCACTGAGAAACTCTTTCTTAGCCCCACCGCCAAGGCCTTAGCGCAGATCATTTATTGAGCGGCTCACATGAAATTGAGGGCGTAGTAAAATGCACTGCGTATGTTACATTACCACATGACGGAAGATTACACTATGCGTACGAAAAGAAGCTCATGGAATTCCATGGAAACCTATGGTGGATCAGTGCAAATCATGTGGGGAGACGTCACCTGGCGCCAAGTAACTTGATCTCCAGGGGGAATGCTCCTTTCTTCTTCCTCCTGTGCAGCGTGTGCCTGTAATCACCTATGAGGGAGTCTCTTTGGCTTAGAGAACCTCACGAGCGATACCATCGGCAAACGACCGTTCCGGCCAGTTGTCGATTGTTTGCAGGCGAACACTACCTCAACGGCCGGTGATGCCGTAAGCCTTAACTAATAATCACTCACCCCTAGTCTATCGTTACAGCAAGCCCAGGAAAATGAGGCCTAGTTCACTCGTTAGCCATGATGATTACGACGTTCAACAAAGCATGGCGCTTGACCCTTGGGACAATACATCACAATATGCACCAACACCTAGCAACTTCTGTTGGTCACCCGCCTCCCCTTCCGATAAAAGCTGCGCCAACGTAGATCCTATGCCCGCGATCGATTACGCCTCTCAACAACAAACTGCTTCGCAAAAGAATAGTCTTCCGTTACTCCAGTTCGGTGATTAGGAGGAAGGTCGAACATATGACGAGGATCCACTGGCTTGTATCCACTACTTGATCGAGTGGAAAGTCACTCTCAATAACAGGACAGTGGCGAAAGATACAGAACAAGATCTGGTTCTAGCCCCTCGATTTCACTGGAGACTCTTTTTGCAACCAAAGCTAAAGGAGCTACTTATACGAAAATATCCACACCAAAAACTTGAATCGGATAACACGTCTGTTGTCGTATCCGCCACTCGGCAGAAGGGCCTCACTCTAAGGTTTGATGGAATAGACATTGATTGGACCTCTATAGAAAAACAGCTTTCGGACTGGGGAGACCTCTTTCTTGCTAGCAACCAACTGAGACTAGTCATCTCATTCAATTACATGGAGAACTCTTCGAGCTCAAACGGAAGTGGCAGGACGACTGATAAACGAGGCACTTCGTCTGCTATCCAGCGGATGCTTCAGGAGCGAGATCGACAGATCTATGCTAAGGAAGCAGCTTCCGGAGAGCCGCCTGCCTAGAAAGAGGTATATGCTTTAATGCGTTGTCCTGGGTCCTGTGAACTAGGTCCGCACTGCTGGCAGGATCCCTATGGAAAGAAGCACTACAAGCTCTATCGCGACCAGCTGGAGAGTTTGGTTAAATACGTGCAGAGCGGTGGGATTTTACAGTCACATAAAGATGTGCCTGGTAGGATTCGCGAGCAAATCTATAGAGCAGAGCGACAACGGCTTGATAGACCGCGGTCTAATAATCGGTCTACCAGCGAGACAAGCTACCCTCCCATTACTATCACAAATGTGCTTCCAACACAAGCCCCACAAGCAGCCGGGTCATCAACACCCCCATTTCCAGAGAATGCCACAGCTTCTTCAACCGACGTTCCTACCCTTTATATTTCAGGCCTTCTTGACGTTGCTGTGAGAGAATACAATACGTGGCAACAGTCACGCCTAAGTGACGAGGTATTGAAAGCCGAGGTCAGAACGGCATGCGAGGTAGCCCTCGATGATGGACTAGACCTAGCGCAGATTGATGAGGACAAAGACCCGAATTACTTCACAGCGCGAGGTGTTAAATGGGGTATTGCCCGGCGTTTTGTCAAGGACATTAGGTTCTGGGCTGAAAATATAATGGTTGAGACTGAGAGAGGGATCTTTTAAAGCGAGGTTTTTGTTATACTGCATTAATCTGTTTCAAGCATCTTTACAATTTGAGACACATCCACGCAACTAGACGAGCGAATCAGATTTCTTCGATCATTAGACCTGCATTTCGAAAATGACCCTCCGCACTCGATGCCCTGGACCCAATCACGTCCACACACCACTCAAGAAAGGCATCGAAACCTTGTGCTGGGTTCGCTTTATACTCATTCCATTTTCGCTTAATGAACTGCTTTAGCTCGGAGAAGAACTCCTCGATAGGGTTCAAATCCGGAGAATAAGGCGGGAGATATATAAGTTCGACACCGGCATCTAAGCACATCTGCTCAATTTTCACCGTTCGATGAAAAGAAGCGTTATCCATTACGAGAACAGACTTTGGCGATGGCCATCGATTGCAGTGTTGAAGAAGTTGCTCGATGAAATTCTCGAAAACATCGGCATCGGTAGAGCCTTGAAATACCCGTCGTAGGACAATTCCATCCTAAGCATACGCAGGTAGTATCTGATAGCGTTTATCTCGGTGAAACTTGGAGATCTGGACCGGTGTTACACCGAGAGGGGACCAGCCTGTTCGTCGAAACCCAGCCCGTTTATCACAACCTAACTCATCCACGAAGACCAGATGGAATGACCGAAAGGTAGATAGGTTGTGGAGGTAGAAGTTCCGTAAATCTGCGTTTCGTTCATTCGCAATTTGTCGAGCTGCTTTCTTAGACCAACCCACTGAAGCCAGCGCTCTGCTGATGCTTTGAATCGTGACACGCTTTCCAAATTCGTCCCAGAGAAAGAGGGCCATCTCATCTTGGTATAAAGTCGGTTTTTCCATCAAATGTTCACAAAGAGCCTCCAGCATAGGCGGCGTGATACTCCGTGGTCGTCCAACGCCATTCCGCGGGGCTCTAACGTTGCCGAATACTTGCAAGTTCGAGCGAATATGGAGTATCGATTGTTTGCTACAGCCCGCAGCAATGGCCATCTGAGATGTCGTTAGCGAGTTACTCTGGATCATATGGTGGATGAGCTCGAGTAGTGGCGGCTTTAAGTTCGGTGCCATCTTGCTTGTTGCAACGTAGGCGAATCATCATCTACTGTTGCTACGTGGATTCTTGGAACGAGATCGGGAGATCATCGCGGGCCGACCATAGACCCAATGACATCTCAGCACGGTTCCGTAACATTCTTTGTCATGTGATTAATGCCTAATTGCCCCTCATTGCAGCCTGAAATGACCAGGGCCCACTGTTGACGCAGCCAATAGTGAGTAGCGGGATCTCCTGAGCTGAGGTACTATTTTTAGTGTTGGCAAAAGCGTAGATCGCTGGAGCGAAGCTGAGTCCACTCAGGGTGGCCTGTGTTCTGAACGCTGCGACTGTTCAATGCAGTATTGCTTTGCGAATGAAAGAAACAAAGTTGAGTGTAAGAGCAACGTCGAATGCTGCAACCATCATGGAGCAAGAAAGCACGATCAAGCACGGCGGCGAGCCGAACCCAGTCGACTCTGCTGGCCTATGCCTGCTGTCCCTGGATGGCGGCGGCGTGCGAGGCCTCTCATCACTCTACATACTGAAGAGCATCATGGACCGGCTAAACCATGTGCGGGGGCAGAACAAGCTCCCTCAGGTGAAGCCGTGCGAAGTGTTCGACCTTATCGGGGGCACGAGCACTGGTGGGTGAGTGGACTTGTCATCTTTGATGCGACGCGCTAACTGCCAGCAAGCCTTATGGCGATCATGCTCGGCCGGCTCGAGATGGATGTCGATGAATGCATTGGCGCATACAGCGATCTTGCAACCGCAGTGTTCGGCGAGAGGCTGAGGTCAATCCCTGTCAACTTTAAGGGTGATATCACAGCCCGGTTCGACTCAGCGAAGCTAGAGGGAGCTATCGCAAAGGTGGTCGAGAATAGCGGTGCATCCAAGCAGGACCTGTTTAATGACGGCACCGAACGTGGATGCAGAACGTAAGTGCATTTCTTATCGGGTTGATATGTCTAACACAGCCAGCTTCGTTTGCACCGCCGACCGCCACACCAAGGACATTGTCCGCCTCCGAAGCTATAGCCTCCGTCACGAGCCAAATATCTACGCGACGATATGCCAAGCTGCCCTCGCAACATCTGCCACCACAACCTTCTTCGAACCCGTCAGCATCGGAGACCGCTCGTTTGCCGATGGCGGACTAGGCGCGAACAATCCAGTGGACGAAGTGGAGGGCGAGGCGTCGAATATATGGTGCTCTGAGACAGGAGACCTAAAGCCGCTGGTCAAGTGCTTCATCTCGATTGGAACAGGGAATCCAGGCAAGAAGCCGTTCGACGACCGTATGCTGAAGTCCCTTGGGCAGACCGTGGTGCAGATTGCAACCGAGACGGAGAACACGGAGAGGAAATTCATCGCGAGATGGGCAAGGCATTTCGGCGAGAAGCGGTACTTCCGGTTTAATGTCGAGCAGGGGCTACAAGAGATTGGGCTTGAGGAATACAAGAAGAAGGGAGCGATGGAGGCGGCGACGGAGGGCTACCTCATGCATACCGCACAGAAGTTCCGGGTGCGGGACTGCATTCAGAAGATGAGTCTCAAAGAGAGTGTGTATCTCGAGGACTTTGCATGGCGAATAAAAACATTAAACTGATGTTTTCAGACAAGACCGGACCAGATTTTGCCACTGTTATACAGGTATGTGCATTACTGCCGGCCAGCCTGTTCCATACTAAAATGTACAGGAATATACCATTCGATGGCAGTCAGGTACGAAGACCGTGAGCTGGTCATGCTGTTGCTAATTCCTCGAATTCATCGCTAAATGGTCTTTATATATAGTTCAACGCTTTGCTGTGCCATTCGACCTTACCGCTGTGCCAGTGATTGAAAATTTCTTTGGACGGCAAGACGAACTAGACAATCTATGGCAGTATTTGCAGCCCACAAATTCCCAGTCACGAAAAGTTGCGATCCTTCATGGTCTTGGAGGGATAGGAAAGACGCAGCTAGCGATTCGCTTCGCACGAGACCACAAGCACGATTTCACTGCCATCTTTTGGCTGAGTGGCAACGATCGAGGCACGCTCTTGCAATCTTTGAGTTCTATCTTACCCCGATTACCAAGACAGTCTCAGAATGAGGCAATCAATGACGAGGAAGTGGAGCAACGAGCTAGGCATGTGCTACGATGGCTCGCAATAGAGGGAAACTCACGCTGGCTAATCATTTTTGACAACATCGAACAATACTCTTTCGTCAATAGTGCTGCTGGTGATGCATATGATATTGGAGAATTCTTCCCCGCGGCCGATCATGGTTCCATTCTCATTACCTCTCGGCTCCAAAGGTTGACTGAACTAGGGAAATCTTTTCCAGTCAACAGACTCGAATCTGATGATGCAATTAAACTACTCTTGCAAAGTAGCCGTGTATCAGCAAAGAATACCATCAGTAGGTCTGAGAGCAATCCAGGTACTTCACCCCTAAATACGTAGATCTTATTCATGATACTAACGCAAGTAGATACCCTGGCTCTTGCTAGTCGACTAGATGGTCTTCCATTGGCAATAGTAATCGCTGGGGCCTTCATGCGCGAAACTGGAGCTAGCACCACTGAGTTCTTGCAGTACTACCAAGAATCTTGGTTCGACCTACAGCTACAATCAAATCCTGAGCGCCAGTATCAACGTAACATGCTACAAACGTGGATGATCTCATATCGTGAGATCAGGAAGCGGGACCCACAGGCAGCGGACTTGCTGCTTTTTCTTGCTCACTTCGACAATCGAGATATCTGGTATGAATTGATAAAAAGCAGCCACCACAGCTCAAGTGTTCCTGTTTGGCTTGAAAAGACTATATCAAGCGGTCTGGCGTTCAAATCCGTTGTCCGGACTCTCATCGGGTTCTCTCTTCTTGAGACTAAGGAACAAGACGGAGGATACGCTATGCACCCAGTGGTACAAGACTGGTGCATCCACCTTGCCAATACAGACAGAAGTGCGGATTTAATCCAGCTCGACCAACTGGCACTGATATCTGTTGGATACACTGTCCCGAGTTCAAGTGACAGAAATTATTCTAGGCTTCAGCAACGGCTTATTCCGCACGCGAATTATGTACGTTATAGGGATTGGCCGGATGACAACATTGATACTGCGGTATGGAGAGCATTCGATGGTTTGGGGAATCTTTACTCTGATCAGGGGAAGCCAAAGGAGGCGGAGGAGATGTACCGGCGAGCACTGGCAGGCAGTGAGAAGGCTCTCGGTCCAGATCATACGTCCACTCTCGACACCGTCAACAACCTTGGTCTTCTCTACCAAGATCAGGGGAAGCCAAAGGAGGCGGAGGAGATGTATCGGCGAGCACTGGCAGGGTACGAGAAGGCCCTCGGTCCAGATCATACGTCCACTCTTATGACAGTCAACAACCTTGGTCTTCTCTACAAAGATCAGGGGAAGCCAAAGGAGGCGGAGGAGATGTATCGGCGAGCACTGGCAGGGTACGAGAAGGCCCTCGGTCCAGATCATACGTCCACTCTCATAACAGTCAACAACCTTGGTCTTCTCTACCAAGATCAGGGGAAGCTGAAGGAGGCAGAGCAGATGTATCGGCGAGCACTGGCAGGGTACGAGAAGGCCCTCGGTCCAGATCATACGTCCACTCTTATGACAGTCAACAACCTTGGTCTTCTCTACAAAGATCAGGGGAAGCCAAAGGAGGCGGAGGAGATGTATCGGCGAGCACTGGCAGGGTACGAGAAGGCCCTCGGTCCAGATCATACGTCCACTCTCATAACAGTCAACAACCTTGGTCTTCTCTACAAGGACCAGGGGAATCTGCAAGTGGCGGAGCAGATGTATCGGCGAGCGCTGGCAGGGTACGAGAAGGCCCTCGGTCCAGATTATACGTCCACTCTCATGACAATCAACATCCTTGGAAGTCTCTACAAGGACCAGGGGAAGCTGCAAGAGGCAGAAGAGATGTACCAGCGAGCACTGGTCTTGCACAATAAGCTATATCCACCCGGCTTCAGAGATTTTGAGGATTTGGGGGATTCCGATGTATCCCTTGAGAATGACTCAGTCTTTTCTGCGCCTATTTCCCTTCCCAGCACCAGGTCGTTGGAATCTGGCAGAGGGGAAATAAATTCGTTGCTCATCCAGGAGTTTGCAACTCTGCTACTTGAAAATTCCATTCTCCCCTCGTTCATTTCAGTTGGCATATCAAAACAGCAAATTGGGTTTGAAAGGATGCGAAACAACTTTCGGAGATTGCTCAAAGACTTTGCGAATAATCTTAAAGCAGAGATTCACAGCGAACTGCATCGAGAACTCAGGAGCTTTGTAAGCTCCTATTCAGACCTGATCACACGCAAGCTCTTTGCCATGTCGCCCATCGCCGAAAAGCCGAACATCAAACATAGTCTCGCATCAATTAAAAAACGTCCATTCCATGAAAGAAAAGTGGAAGATTATCTTGAAAAACTACATAGTGGTCTCCATGCTTCCAGGTCAGAAGAGTTTGACGTCCTTTCTGATGTGAAGGAATCACACGAAGGAATGGAAGCATTCGATCTCGATGAGGAAAGTGACCAAGGCTCTGTGGCCGAGGAAGCTGGCGAAGATGAGCCCTATGAGGGATCTTTGCAACATTTGGATCAGATGAAGCACTTCGTTTTGGAAAGCGCCGCCTACCGAATTCTTCTTTGTCGTCTTGAAGAATTTGTTCAGCCCTCGCTGTACTCTCGGCTTCGAGATCTGGTGACAAGGTGGTCCTTTCCAGAAAGTAAGAACCATGACGATGTTGCTCGGTATAAGCTGCGGAACCTTGTCACAGATTTGCAGCACGTGGATCCCCACGAGATTCGATTTGATTGTGATCACGATAGTTCTCCATTTGTTAAGTTCATCAGCCACTACCAACATATGCTTGAGCGCTGGACCGGAGAGTGTTGGGATTGGTGGCCATTGCCTCATTGTCTGAGACCACTAGGAGGATCAGAGACAAGGTTACGGTGGAGATGTGTGAGTATTCATTTACTTCCAGCCCTACACTATATCCAGGCCCTGATTGGTGATACAGGTATGTGGTGAAGAGCGATGGGCAGAAGTACCAAACGCCTTTGTCAAACGCCTCCAGTCCATAATCAAAAGTCTTCCCATAGACACCACGGCAAACCAAAATACTCGGCCTCCTCCAGGGACATACAATACCTCCAGCTCAACCTCTCGCAGCGCCCCGAACAATAGTCAGATTCCCACGCAGCCTTCACATCCGCATCATGGAAGCCAGCAACCAGACGACTCATCCCCTGATCCTTCACTTCATTATCAACACTCTGGACTCAAAGCCAATACCTTTGAAGTGAACAAACACCGTGTCCTCTTCCTCGCGAAACAGGGTGAAGATTACGGACTCGCACAGATCTGCGTGAGTAATATGAATTCACATGACTTTTTCAACACACTGAAAGAAGAGTATTTTCGCCTGAGAGGTGTACTGCGGGCCCGGTTCAGTGTTTGGAGGTTCTCACATTGTGACTTTTACAAGGTGAATGCCCCTGTATACTACTCCAATGATTTTGGTTGACAATACAAATCACAGTTTGAGAAGTTCGATGACCACGAGTTCGCGCCCAAAAAAAGAGATGCATTCCCTGACGATGCCAACGCTGATTACGAGTATCAGCCAAGGCCGATGGAAAACATCCCCCCAGTCTCCGAGCATGAATTCACGAAACGTTTCTATGCTTGTCACAACCCACGTCCATTACTTCACTTGCACCACAAGTGTAAAAGGTTGGGGGCTCACTCGGATGACATTTTGAAGTTCCTTCCAAAGAAAAGGACCGAATTTGAAGAAGCGGGCGACAAGCGAGAAGACTTCTGGGGAATCTATGCTCGCGAAATCATCAGTCTACGTTGGATTATCTTTTACAATTTTGTCTGTGTTTTACCTTTGCTAGCCTTTTTCGTGGCATGGATTATACTTCAGGGGCATGGTACGGATTTGCAAAACCCATCGATCCCAATTTCCATAATGGTTTCCATGCTTTCTCTCTTTTGGAGTGTATTTCTCAGCAGTTTGCAGTTTGGAAAGTCGCACTAAAGCGGGCATGTTGTTTTAATTACTTCATATGATTTGCAATATTGGCTACTTTATTTAGGGAAGGTCCAGCTAATTCAAGAGCACTGTACTGCGCTGTCGGGCCGCCCGAATGCGAGGAGCTCTGGGGTCGATTTCGAAAACAGTTTCCCCTCTGGACACACACTGTCTGTTTCTCGGCCCGTATCCGACACGCGCTTAACCCTTATTAGGTTAGGTAGTAAACTATCATCCACTGATAGATTATTATTAACTACACCTTAGCTATTTTAGGTTTAGACCTGTTCCGGGTATGGGCCGAGCAACAGTGTGTGTCCCCAGGGGGAAACTGTTTTCGAAATCGACTGTATCGTCAAACTAGAACCAGATCTCGTTCTGTCTTTCACCACCTGTTGTGAAGGGTCACCTTCCCCTCATCAAGGAGTGGATACAAGCCGATGTGTCTTCGTCATATGTCCGACTTTCTTGCCAATCACTGAGCTGGAACAATGGAAGACTATTCTTTGTGAGGCAGTTTGTTGTGGGAAGGCGTAATCGATAACGGCTGTTGGGTCGACGTTTGTGCAGTCTATGTTGGACAGGGAGGCGTAGGAACGACGGAAATTGCCAGGGTTTGGTGCATATTGCCATCGTTATGCTTTATTCAACGTCGTGACTGTCGTAGTTAACGAGAGAATTGGCCCTCATGATTCTTGGCCTACAGTAGTGACAGACTTGGGCAGGGCGAGTATTGGTGAGGTTTGCACCATTAACAGACGTAGAGGGTGTTGTCCGTCTGCAAACAACCGAAAACTGGTCGAAGGGTTCGTTTGCTGATGGCTTCATTAATTGTGAGTTCCTCTAAGCTAAAAGAGACAGCATCACAAGTGATGACCAGCACGCGCCAACCAGGATAAGGTGAATCGAAGTGACGCAGTGGATCAAGAAGTTACAGTACTAGATTCCCTCCTCACTTGACCTCCTGGGATTCGCTAAAGGTTCCAAGCAATTCTACGGAAATCTTGTACCTATTATGTAATATTACATGGCGACGTTAAAATACAGAGAGTGTCTTACGGTATCCCTCAATTTAATGCGGTCTGCTCAATAGATAATCTGCACTAATGCCTTGACGGTGGGGCCAGGAAAGAGTTTCTCAGTGTATGTTGGTCAAGGCGATTTCGAGAATGACTGTATGCAACAAGCATACACTTTCTTGGTGTTTTGCTCGTGGGCAGCTATTGCTATCGAGAACCAGTAGGGAATTCATGGCTTCGGGCCGCAGGTTCCTATTGGCTTCAACTGAATTCTTGTCGACGTGAACTGCTCATTCCGGCTGCCTTCTATTGTCATGAAGCCGACTTGTACGAGGTCGAATTGAAGGGAATAGTGAGCATAGGGCGAATTGGAATGGGAAATATGAAGTTGGGGTCCGTGTAAATGGTCTCTCTCGGCCGCCCTAGTTTTTCCTATAAAAGCCCAGCCTTTCGCGGTGGTTTATAGGCTAGGATTCAGAACACTTTCTGTCCTCCCCTGCTCGGACATGAGAAACCCGGGTGTTATAGTGCCTCCGCGTGGCCTTGTAACGTTAGATCTCCCCTGCTCGGATATAAGAAACCCGGGTGTTATAGTGCCCCCGCGTGGCCTTGTAACGTTAGATCTCCCCTGCTCGGACATAAGAAACCTAGGTGTTGTAGTGCCCCCGCGTGGCCTTGTAACGTTAGATCTCCCCTACTCGGATATGAGAAACCCGGGTGTTATAGTGCCTCCGCGTGGCCTTGTAACGTTAGATCTCCCCTGCTCGGATATAAGAAACCCGGGTGTTATAGTGCCCCCGCGTGGCCTTGTAACGTTAGATCTCCCCTGCTCGGACATAAGAAACCTAGGTGTTGTAGTGCCCCCGCGTGGCCTTGTAACGTTAGATCTCCCCTACTCGGATATAAGAAACCTGGGTGTTATAGTGCCTCCGCGTGGCCTTGTAACGTTAGATCTCCCCTGCTTGGGCGTGAGAAACCTGGGTGTTGTAGTGCCCCCGCGTGGCCTTGTAACGTTAGATCTCCCCTGCTCGGATATAAGAAACCTAGGTGTTGTAGTGCCTCCGCGTGGCCTTGTAACGTTAGATCTCCCCTACTCGGGCGTAAGAAACCTGGGTGTTGTAGTGCCCCCGCGTGGCTTTGTAACGTTAGCTCCCTCTAGCGAAAAGTTAGACACCTCTTCGTGGTGCTAGAGACTAGTACTCAAACGACCGTTTCGAGGAAGCTAAGATCTACATTTGACTTTTGTACTTTAAGTGCTTATAAGACTTTATACCATTTCCAAACTCGCAACTATATATAAATATCCAATATAGGTAAAACGGCTAGTCGCTAGTTATTAGACATTGACATGGGACTCCCATGGGACTAAGGTCCGTCCCAAGTCCCACCCATGGGAATACCCATTTGGGTATGCTAAGGGAATACCCACCCATGGGAATACCCATGGGTCCCATGGGTACCCATAGACACCTGATTATGCCTGAATTCGCCTGAATTCGCCTGAATTTTGTGCATAAGATCACTGACTAATCTTTGTTATTTACGTCTGTTTCGGTTGGAACAAGTAATATCACTACTTTTTAACCTACCTACTAGGTAATTATAAGAAATAAAGTTGTTTATATATATAAAAGGGTCCGTTTCATCGGTCGCATTAATGTTTTAGGCCTATCGAAGTAAAGGTAAAAAAGCGGTGGTAGAAATTATGGTTTGTCCTCTAAGATATATATTTATTATATACAACCAACCACTCTGCTATTATTTCCTTTGATTTTATTATATTATAATACTAGGTTATTATGGCTTATTTTACTAGTTAATTTAATTACTATAGCTTCTTTTATATATATTTATCTTGCAAACACCTAATTACTAGTGTAGGGTGTGTGGTTGAGAGAAAAAGGTCAGAGTTAAGAGCAAAAGTTAAGAAATTTCTAGGGGGCATAGCTCTTACTGAATTCTATGGGACTATAGGACTCCCATAGGACTACCCACATAAATATAGAGAGTTAGGCCAATAGGATAGGCTAGGTAGACCCACCCAGTACTGATTGGCTTATAAAGAACTAATAATATTAGGCTACGTGCTTAAAGCCCTTAATATACCTTACCTTCTATCTAAGCTTTTTCTCTTTACCTTGGTCTTAGTTTCTCTTCACTTTCGCTAGTATGGCACACCTCTCGGACCCTATAAGCCAATCTATATATAGCGATAGTATTGATCCTATCCTTCTATCTGATTCTTTCTCTTTTGAACCAAACGAACTAACTAAAAGCTAAACAACTAAGCTTACACCACCACCACTACTACCACCCTCTATTCAACGTGTTAGAGACCGGACGAAACAGTGGGCACTTTAGACGGAAATGACTAAGACTGAATTTATTGAATAGTGGCTTACCACTCTATATAGGATAAAACCCGAAGCAAAATATATCCATTGGGATAGAAAGGGCCATCAATCTAATATATAGACGCATTTTGACTAAGTTGTATATATTAATATAGGAAAACTAATGGTTGCTTGCAAAAGGTGTGGTATAATAATAAAGTATCTAGTAAAAGATAGGACATCTAGGATGCGACGACATCTAAAAAATGGTGCCTGTTAGATAAAAAGCAAGCAAACAAGTATTAAGCACTTAATACAGAAAGTGGTATGTTTACTAAAAAGTAAGAGAAAAGTGAGAGCAAAATAAGAGAAAACTAACCTATTATTCTCTTACTAGGCAGTCAACTCCAATCTATCCCAACCTTGGTCTAAAGAGCTCTAGCAGCAACAGCTTTTAACCACTATCACTAGCCTACGCCTACCCTTCTAAATCATCGAGAGCGAGCACTTCTAGAAGCTTCTACGCCTAACTTAGTTAGCCCCTTCAATCCCAACCTTTCCTATTAGTCGCACGATATAGCGCCGACTACGAAATATAGTCGAAGACCGACAGAAAGACACCCTTTAGATGCTTCCACCCTATTCAAAGCTCTCAATTAGTCTAGATTGTTGGACATCACCCTTTCAGTAAGCATTTATAGCTATTACTAGTTATTTCCTAGACTAGAATTAGGATTACCGAGAGATGCTTCTAGGATTTGAACCCCTAGAAGGAATATACACTAGGACGAATCTTAGGTTAGTCCTAACTAATACCCTTCAAAAGTATTAGATTCTAGACCGGATTATAGCTATTACTACGGATAATTCGTCAAATAACTAGACGATGATCATAAGTATCTAAGCTAGTCATCCTAGTCTACCTTTGATCCGCATTCCTTGCCTTGCGTATATGATTTAGCTTAGTCTAAAATAGCTTCTTGGTTAGATAAAGGCAAACCCCTAGAATAATATAGTGGAAATGGTTTAGACAGAAGAGTATAGTCGGGCTGCTACTCGGGCTTAGCAAAGGTCTAGAAAGCTAGATATTACGAATACCCTTCGTAAGGCTCGCAGTCTTGCTATCTATATTAATGCAAGCCCACAGAGACGGGATAACTTCCTAAAGCTTTAGACTAATTAGCCTACATTAGTCCCAATCCAGGACGTCTATACGCGTTGGAATTCGACATATCTAATGCTTTACTGGGCTAAAAGGCTTCAATCTAATTTAAATCAGTACTATATCACCTACTGGGTTAAATAGTTAATAATTAATTTAGAGGAATAGCGTTAGATTGATTATCTTCTTTATTTAACTAAGCCTTTCTTCTAATTTACCACTACCCTATCTAAGACCAAGGATATTACTATCTACAGTGTTTTTAGTATCTATAATAAGCTTTTTGACCACCTTAAAGCTTCGATTCGGTAGTTAAGGCGGAAAAAGGTTAGTCTCCTATATTCTCTCCCTTTTCCGCTAATTATAACTCTGATTTTTCGCACTTCAACCTATATAACAAGGGTTAAAGTGCGAAAAATCAGAGTCATAATTAGCGAAAAAGGGATTTATTTAAGTCTCACTTACTTACTTTTCCTTCACTTCTAGGCTAGGTGGAAACGGTAGATACTTAAAGCTCTTAAATCAGCTAAAAATAAGCTTCGAGAGTACTATGCAAAAATAGATAATCTAGAACTTAGTGATATCTATACGTATAGCACAATCCTCGCCCCTTAGCATAAGTTGCAGTTCTTTTCTGGCCCCAACTAGATAGATAAAGACTATACTTCTTTATATCGAGCGAGCTTTCAAGAGCGAATAAAAGTATATCAAATAGAGAGTGATTCAATCCCAAAACCTTAGGCTTCTATCCAAGCTTCTAAGCTTGATCAATTACTTACTTCTAAGCCTAAATCCACTAAGGATCAGGATAAATTAACCTAATATCTCCAAGGAGGTAAGCTTACTTTTTCCTCTCACTTTCCTCTCACTTTCCTCTCACTTTCCTCTTACTTTTCTCTCACTTCTAGTCTTACCTCTTATTTTACCTCTCGTCTAATTTCTTTAGTTTTACTTAGGTTTAGTCCCAATTAGCCCTCGTCTATTCTAGAAAGATCATACGCATCAGTTCCCTACACTAGCATATATAGTATAGGATATTTTCTCTATCCCTACTACTAGTGCTAGTGTAGAAAGGTTATTTAATTTAGCCTAGGATATCTATCATTATCGGAGGGGTCGTCTAAATTCTTCAACTATCCAAGACCTAATGATGTTTATATATACGACTAGGTTCGAGATGGAAGATTAGTAGCTAGCTTTTATCCGATCTCTATCTATCCACGAGGACGGTGAAACAGATAAACCTTCTCAGCAAATAGAAGGTTTTGAGCTAATTAGTGATACTAAGGCGGATAGGGTGGATGAGCTAGATAAGCTAGATGAGCTAGATAGGATAGATATTTCTAGGCTATCTTCTGTTCGGGCTAGTAAGAGAAGAAAGAGTGTTTTATCTAATAAGAGTGATGATGATTTAGTCTCTTTACCTATAATTCCAGAAAGCCAGATTCGGGCCTCTAGTCGGGTAAAAAGACGTCCTCGGGGGCCTAAGGGCTTTGAAATTCTATAGAATAATATAGATACTATTCTCTCATTCAAACCTCACTTTATTTTTCTTATTTTATTACCTTTCGACTGTAATTTTACCACCTAAATACCAAAGATTCCTACATAATATGCATTAATTATACCTCCTTATATTATGGGTACTCATGGGAGTATGGGAGTCCCATAGGTGGGTAGGGAAAAGGCCGTCCCACCCATGGGACTAAGGGTCGGTCCCATATCCCACCCATGGGCGGGACGGGACTGCCCCAAATGGGAATACCCATGGGAGTGTCAATGTCTAATATTAATGTAAGCCTATAGAGACGGGATAAATTCCTAAAGTCTTAGGCTAAGTAGCCTATATTAGTCCTAATCCAAGACGTCTATACGCGTTGGAATTCGACCTATCTAATGCTTTAACGGGCTAAATGGCTTCAACCTAATCTTGATCAGTACTACAGGGCCTTCTAGGTTGATTATTTAATGATTAATCTAGAGGAATGGCGTTAGATTGATTACCTTCTTTATCTTACTAAGCCTTTCTTCGATTTTACTTTGATTATGGCCAAAACCAAAGATATTACTATCCATAGTGTCTTTGGTGTTTACAATTTGCTTTTTGAGCACCTTGAAGCTTCAATCCGGTAGTTGAGGCGGAAAAAGGTTCGTCTCCTCTATTCTCTCCCTTTTCCGATAATCTTGACTCTTGCTTTTAGCACTTTAACGTATATAATAAGGGTTAAAGAGCTAAAAATCAGAGTTAAGATTAGCGGAAAGGGGATTTATTTAAGTCTCACTTACTTACTTTTCCTTTACTTCTAGGCTAGGTGGAAACGATAGATACTTAAAGCTCTTGAATTAGCTAAAAATAAGCTTTAAGAGTACTATGCAAAAACAGATAATCCAGAACTTAGTGATATCTATGCGTATAGTATAATCCTCGCCTCTAAGTATAAATTATAGTTCTTTTCTAGCCTAGATTGGCAGGATAAAGACTATTCTTCTTTATATTTAAAAAGCTTTCACGACCGTATAAAAGCATATCAAATAGAGACCGATTTAATCTTAAAACCCTAGGCTTCCGTCTAAACTAAGTTTAATCAAATGCTTAGGCGAAAACCTCCGTCCACCTAGGACCAAGATGAATTGACCTAATTTCTCTTAGGGGGTAAGCTTACCTCTCGTTTCACCTCTCGTTTTACCTTTTGTTTTACCTCTCGTCTAATTTTTTTGGTTTCACTTAGGTTTGGTCCTAATTAGCCCTCGTCTATTCTGGAAAGATCATACGCATAAGTTTCCTACCCTTACACGTATAGTATAGGATATCTTCTCTATCCCTGCTATTAGTGCTGGTGTAGAAAGGCTATTTAATTTAGCCTGTGATATCTATCATTATCGGAGGGGTCGTCTAAATACTTTAACTATCCAAGATCTAATAATGTTTACCTATATAACTAGGTTTGAGATAGAAGATAAGCAGCTAGCTTATATCTAATCTCTATCTATCCACGAGGACGGCGAAACAGAGGAACCTTCTAAGCAAATAGAAGGTTTTGAGCTAATTAGTGATACTGAGGATAAGGTGGATAAGGTGGATGAGCTAGATAAGCTGGATGTTTCTAGGCTATCTTCTATCCGGGCTGGTAAGAGACGAAAGAGTGTTTTGTCTGATGAGAGTGATGATGATTTAGTCTCTTTGCCTATAATACTAGAAAGCCAGATTCGGGCCTCTAGGCGGGTGAAAAGACGTCCTCGGGGGCTTGAGGGCTTTGAAATTCTATAGATTAATATAGGTGTTATTCTTTTATTTAACCCTCACTTCTCTCTCTCATTTAGTTACCTTTTGGTCTGTAATTTTACAATTTGAATACTAAAAGTTACTACATAAGATGCATTACTTATGCCTCTCTGTATCACGGGTTTCTTCGCGGCCCGTGGGTATACCCATGGGCGGGCCTGCCTACCCCTACCCGCCCACGGGTTTGAGGGTCCTACCCGTCGCCCGCCCACGGGCGGGTTTGGGCCTACCCGTACGGGTATACCCACGGGCATGTCAATGTCTACTCTTACCTAGTTGGGTATTACGGATATCCTCACTCCTTGTAATAGCGATAAGAAAAAAGGGAAATACAATAGATGACAAGGTATTCCCTAGTAATGCTAGGCGCGCCCACGTCCGAGATCAAAGAGAAAGCGTTGACAAGGTCTATAGTACCAAAAACGTAGCACCTAGTCTTATAGTGCTGTCATATCAATAAGGGTACCATTTCTGCTTCGGAAGCGCGGGTACCTTTCAAGTAACCGATCTTTAGCATGTCTTTTGTCGGAAAAGAGTGAGACAAAAATGGTCGTATATTGACAGCCTCCGTTTAGATGCTGGTCTACCGCGCCACTAAAAGCAAGCTTGCCCCGTCTTTCGTTATATGTAAGTCAAAACCAACCATTCCCGTACGGCATGGTATGCATTTAGAGCCAATGAGGCCAAGCGGCATCTAACGATATGAGTTGGATTAATAATTGGTTAGGAAAAAAGGAAAATCCAGCGGAAAGCTGTTGAGAGATGCTTCGCAGCCCATACGGACGATACTTGGCGGCGGTGACAACGCTCGAGTCCATGAGTAATCCAGGATTAAATACGAAACATAGGAAATATGGTCTCCCGTGTGGCTTACCACTTGCAGCTCCATGCGCTGACATCTTAAGCCCCACTATCGCAAAAGATTATTCTGCTGCCTTTTGCCAACGATTTACGAGTTTTGCTACCTATAATTCTTCTACGGTTTGTTGTATACCCAATGGCCTAAGGTGTGCGCGTCGCCAAAAAGGAGACATACAGATGCCTATCTCTGCATGCAAACTTAAGTCTTGTTTTATTGAACGCCGAATACCAATCTTCGGCGCTTGAAAGCACAAATTCCTCCCCTGAATCTTCTCTTGCGAAACAAATGGCCAGTCCAGAATACTCTACCGTCCCTGTTTTGGAAACTAACATCCCCTTTTTGGCCAATTCCATCTATGCCGCTAAGCTATCTTTGAGCGTCAACCCTCTCGTCTTTGAAAGCTGTCCAAATGAGGCGCTCCAGAAAGAGATATACAGTAACGCTGTCTAGCACGGATACTGTACTCAGAACTTTCGATAGAATGTTTTAAGGCAATCGGTCTCCACTCTAACGAAATAATTGGCTACTTTGTCCTTTCGCGGCAACAACCAGCCAAAGAGAGTCTAATCGACAGTGATAACGAAGATTCCCAGCAAGCCATTCTAGATGGCTTCAATAGTGGTCTCCTTAGAGAGGTGATGAAAGCGATCACCCAAATCGCCAAATAGACGGAGGCAACCGATCAGTTTAGTTAGTTGTACCTTATTGTTTTCAGATTTGCTAATATGCCGCGCAGAAGTTGTCTACATATATGTGAAACCGTCCTACCAGCGGAAAGGGATCGGTTCCAAGCTAGTTCAGCTGGGCTTCGTCTTGCCCATGCTGAAAATATCCCACTTGTTGCCTGTGCCCAAGCTCCAGCATATGGATTCTTCAGCAAGCTGGGATTCGCAGACACAACACACTGCGATATCGATCTGAGAAGGTATGCTTCGGCTAGCAGCGGCGTTGGTATCTACTGTCTGAGTGAGATGGTGTGGCGTCCTTGAGTACTAGGGTACAATCCCAGAGATAGATCTAATCATGATTAGAGTGCGCAGAAATGGATATCTAAATTATCACGGCGAGCCATATCTTCTCACGCTTCGTTAGATGTTCACGAGTCTCAATCAAAGGGTTGCTGATGTCGACTAGAAGAAAAAGATTTTCACGGGAGATTATCTGCATCTTTATCAAGTAAAGGCCAAATGGTCCCAAATGCGAAGAGAAGCAATGCGGAAATGTTGATGGAGGGTTATCTTTCATCAACAGCAGCTGTACATGCACGAATATGAAGATCATCTTATTGCCATTTTGAGCAGTAACTGGCCTTCTAGGCCCGCTTCACAATATTGGCTCATTATAGTGCGTTCATGCATCCTCATTGCATATTTCCAGGGTGCCTGGGTTGTGCGCCCTTGTTTTCCCATCCTTGTTGTGCAGCAAGACCTAAAGACCTCTATTATTATTTGCTCATAGCTTTTCATACTACATTATTCGCCATGCTTACCTTGGGAGGGTGCTTCACGGATGTTTCTTCAGCCCGCTCTCCATCTGTGACGATTTCTTCGACCTAGATTCAAGCAAACAATCAACTAAGCATACATTCTAGGATTGACTGCTCCAGAGCGGGTGCGCCATTGTATGGCGCTCTCAACACACCTTGCCTTCATGTGTTCCGCCGCGAATTCTGGTGTAAACGTAATCTCCTTCGTGAATGGGTTCACCATTCTTGTCGGAGACATTGTCGCGATCCATGTTGTTTAAGATGTAGGTTCAGCCTAATATCGCTAGTATTGAAACGGATGAGGTCTGCATGTTATCAGATGTCTCTAAACTCAACATAAGTTATCACCTGCATTTACCCCAACGCATCAGAGTGACGTATTATTTCTGGATGTCATCGTGTGTAATCAGGAATGCTTCTATTTTGCCACTAGGCAGGTTATCAGTGCTACCTATGCTTATGAGTTAGGTTCTGTGATAACATCAATCAAAGAACTACAGGTATCAAACGGGGTTGGAAGAGCGGTGAATTGAGGAAGAGCGGTGAATTGAGGGAGAGTGATGAATTGAGGGAGAGTGATGAATTGAGGGAGAGTGATGAATTGAGGGAGAGTGATGAATTGAGGGAGAGTGATGAATTGAGGGAGAGTGATGAATTGAGGGAGAGTGATGAATTGAGGGAGAGTGATGAATTGAGGGAGAGTAATGAATTTAGAAAGAGCTTAGCACGTCATCCGGCTAAATCTCAGGTCTAGAAGCCATTATCACGGTAAACGGTCTTTGATTTCTGTCGCTGTCTTCCACTGCTCTGTTTCTCGCGAACAATTTAATCTGTTACAGTACTTATTGTATATTCGGAAAAGACTTCAGTCAATCAGACGTAGACGGGCGGGTCCTGGGAGACGGCTTTAGGACTCATTCTGATCAATATCTTGTTCCCAAGAGGAAATCACAATGTTTCTGGGAGAATGTCCAGGATGCCCAGAGCCCCAGAATACTCTCAGTTAATTTCCAGCCTGTCTAATCCCTGGTGGGTCACCAGCTTGATTTTGACAGTCACGGTCTCAAAATCCGCTTGCCTTTGCGGCATCACAGGAAATGCTGGAATGCATTGCTGTCTGTCAATAAATCAAACCCTCGACGGGCTGGACGGGCAACCCAAAATGTTTCGTCACCTTAAGAAAAGCGAAGAATTGGGCGTGTGAGACGTTGGGCCTGTTTTCCTGGTGGTATCTGTGTAGGCACGACTGGTCGCCGTTCAATACTGTTGCTATTCAAAGGAAGACTTCTGTTTATTTCAGAGGGAATTCGTGAGTCTATATATACAACGAGAAGACCCAAGTTGATTGAAAATAGACTTGGTGCTTCGTATAGATATCTCGGGAATTATTTCCGATGGTCCGGCTTTGTTCCTGATCTGCACCAGCCTCGTATCACAACACAATCGAAAAGTGCCGTCGGTAACACGGATTTCTGGAAGCTCTGTATCGGTTGTGGTATACGAAGAGGACTCTTTCCCAAATTGGACAAATCCCTCAACATCATGAATCAAAATTTGTCTACCACCTCGGGCTCGAAGATGACGCCCCCTTAGTATCAATGAGCACCACATTTTCCGGCCGGATATGGATGATCTTTCGGTCCCCCATTATCACCGTCTTAGAAGGTCCCGCACTGCTCTTTCTTATGTACTTTGCATTGGTGTCGGCCACAAGAACACAAAAACTTCCAGGCTCTAGGACGACCATTTCCCCTTTATCTTCCCCACTTGAGCTAGTGTGAAAGACCCCGATCTCTTCCCCCTGTTGAACAAGCTTCACAAGGCCGGTGCCTTTGTTACGATGAATGACGACTGCGGTCATGTCTTTGTCTGGTCCAATAACCCTTGGTGCTGGGCGTGGCATCCCTAAGATAGCTACTGGTTTGCTCGTAAACCAGCCTTTGATTTCGCAGTCCCTTATTGAAGTCTAGGAAGTCAATTGAACGCCAAACCGAGAACCTGGAGGATTCGTACCATTTCTGCAAACTGCTTCTTGAGTTCATAATCGTCTTCCAATACGTGGGAGACGTCTGCTACTTGCAACGGCTCCATCCTGGTGGTTTTGAAGGCGCTCTTGCAAGCTATCAGCGCCAAGTCTAACAGTGAGAGCAAACGGAAGCTAGCGATCAAGTCGGAAGATAGGTCTTTTTAGAAGGGTGTGGAAGCGTAAAAATTTGCGAGTGTAACGTAATTTGACCTCGGTCTTGAACATGACCTTACTCTTCACTAGACCTCGTCATAGCCCGCCTTTAACCCAAGTCAAGGCGAGAACGGCTGCTTGAAACTCCCAAAAAGCCAAGATACCATTATATATCAGTTTACAGTTTAGACTTTTTGGCTGTCTATTCCAGCGTAAAGTAGATAGACAGAAAGCGCGACGGTTGCGCCTCATGCAGCCTGTTTCAAACATGACGTATGAGATTACTAAGAACAATACAGTGGTGTAACATAAGTATTTGACCTCGAGTACTTTAGGATCCACTTTTAGCCTGACCGCTTTATTATACCGCCTACTTTATTAGTACACCACACCTCGCGTTTCAACGCGCTTGCTAACATATACGCTACAGTTAACGCGTTATAGCAGTCTTTCTTACCTTATTATGCCTCCTATACGTGGGAAGAGAGGCCCAGAGCTTGACTGCCTTACTAGGGCCAAGATCTGCGAATTACACGCTACAAATGGCTGGGGTGCAACAACCATTAAGAAGATGCGCTTTCCCGATATTCCACGCTCAACAATTCAATATACCCTTACCCAAGAGGCAAAGCGTCAAAAACAAGAAAGCCTTCCACGCTTAGGCGCTCCAAGGAAGCTTACTGAAGAGGATCGTGACTATATCTACGACACTATACAAGAAAAGCCATCGATATTGATTAAAGATCTACTTAGAGAGGTCGATTTTAAGGTCCATCGCTAGTCAATTTAGCGTCTAACCCACGAAATAGGTCTTCGAAAATGGAGGAAAATATAGCGTCCGGCACTTACGCCTAAATATGCTACGAAACGGCTTTAATGGGCACTCGAATACTAACACTTCACTCCTGAAGACTGGGCCCGCGTCTACTGGTTAGACGAATATACAGTTGAACGTGGAATAGGCTAGCGGTAAGAATGGACGTTTATACGTCTAAAAGACTAGCTTTTTTAGCATTCAAAAGAAGGCTCTTAGGTTTAGATAGTTCTAGCGCGAGGGAAGCAAATTAAGCAGATGTTTTGGGCTACTTTCTCTGGCTTACCGCGTCGATTAGGCCTAATTCCATTATTCGGAGATCCTACGTCTAGAAGAGGTGGTGTTTCTTCACGTACGATTGAAGAGCTCTATCGGCGTATCTTACCTACGCTACTTAATAGTATTGATAATAATGCTATTTTTCAGCAAGATAACGCGCCCGTTCATACTGCATATATTGTACGGGAAGCTCTTAATGAGCTTAACTGCGAGATTATGGAATGGCCTCCTTATTCACCTGATTTAAACCCGATCGAGAACCTCTGGGCGCTGCTAAAAGCCGAAATTCTTAAGCGTTATCCTGAGCTAATGCGCCTACCGAACAACGAATCTACGTTAGATCTATTGCTAAAAGCTGCACAGGAAGCCTGGGAAGGCCTAGATATTGAATTATTCAAGCATCTATCAGAAACTATGCCTCACAGGGTAGCTAATGTTATTAAGTATGAGGGGTGGCATACTAGCTATTAGACTGAATTGAATTTTAGAGGTTTCTGCCTGGCAGTATTAGAAAAGTGGGTCCTAGGCCGAAGTACTCGAGGTCAAATACTTACGTTACACCACTGTATAATGTCATAACGTAATCGGAAAGCGAGTGACGCACGTAAGCGAGTCGCCCACCCAACTAACGTGATTTTTGCTGTGTCACTGTACTGGGTGTATCTCTTCATAAAACGACTTCCTAAGCGTATGCAAACTCGGGCGAAAAGCTGCTGGCTGAAAAAGGCTTCCGTGTGCATTCAATTTTGATTCCAAAGGATCCTCTTTTCAACGCCGCAATATTCTGCTGTGGCCTTTGACCATGGTTAGCGGCGCCAAAAAATCGTGACTGAGGTGCAACTATAGAATCTGCCAATACATTTTTCACCAATTGAGACTATTTAACTGGTTGGCATCCTTGACTTGTTTTCTCGCTTTCACTTGTCGTCCAGTAGTGACGCTTGAAACATCTCTTTATCCGTTGAAGTGGCTACTGAAGATGGCTACCACGCCACACACCCGACCGAGTCGATTTGTTTCGAGCAGGAAAACAAAGCGCCAGAAACAATGTTGTCGTAAATCAAATTCATGAAATAGGCATACGAATATAGCAAGTTGTGCGACGCAGATGTCTGCCTGGGCACACGCCTCCGTGAAACGAGTCAAGTGTTTATTTTCTCGGTGGACGCTTCGGGATTCTGGGCTTTCCTTGGCTCTCAAGTAGTTTCGAGACAGCGGCAAGGAGCTAAGTTCGTCTTGCAAAACCTCAAGTCAGCAGGTCGGACGGGTAATCTTGCCGCAGTCATCGTCGAAATTTACCGTTCCAAAGTGGCAAAATGCTGGTACAATGAGTACTGCAAGATTGTAGCACCAATGGTACCGTTAGATTAACAAATTTACAATAAAGCGGTGCCGGTCCACGACATACGCCCTCAGCGTTGCTGGTTGAGCAACATCCACTGGAGACCTTCAAAGCTTTATGCTTCTTGTTGGCATATAAGGCCACCTATGTCTTTCATTCCGAGCAGGTGGATGGCATTGCTTGAGGAATTCAGCTTCGGTGGCCGACATTGTGACTGTTCGCTGTTTGGAAGTCCACTGGTCCGCCATAGACCATGAACACATACCCGTCAAAATCCTGTGGAGGTCTTAAAACCTCGACAATCGTTCCAGAGTCATTTCTAGACAGCAAGGGTTGCTAGGTGGGAGGTCAAAGAGCTTTCGATGCCTTCGATGACATGTAGGACCATCGTTGGGATTGTAAGACCGTCCTCGTAGAACCTACTGGTCGCTTCCTCGCGATATAGCGCGATAAAGTATGTAGAGGCAGTCCTGAGCTATCAGTTGATGTCGCCGACCGTTAGAGAAAAGAGGCGATGTGGGTTTGGGGGATGAGACTAGGGATCCGAAAGGAATATGATTATTCATGAATATTCATGAATATTTGAGAATATGAATAATATGAATTGAATAATATGAATATGAATAAACCCTTTATTCATATTCCAATATTCATGAATATATGATTAATTCATATTTATTCATATAATAAGATACCATACATTACCATTCGTTTCATTACATCCGAATACACCATTCAGGCTCAGACACTTTGTTCCACAGCGAATTATGTGCCTGTCTTTAATTTCGAAGCACTGAAAATTACATGCATGCACCACTGGAAATACATGTCTGAGACTTTCCTCTTAATAGCATCAGCCATCGCATAGTCTCCGCGTTCAGACGGTGCCTTCGGAGGCCCAAGACATCTCGAGCATTGCTGAACTCGCGTTCAATCCCGACCTCTGCCGAAGGGATGGGTAGGTAATCGCGAGCGGCTTTTGCCATGAGTGGAAAATTAAACGCGTTAGCCTTCCACCACTTTAGGACCCATTCTGCGTCCGCATCGCCGATCATGTGGTGAGACCAGTTGACCGGCGGGGAATCCAAGTACTTATCAATATCCGACAAAGAGGCCTCTTTGCATGGCTGGACTTTGCGCAGAGTTCTCCACATTGTTTCCGACATCCCTGCTGGACGTGGATGGTCAACTTCACACGACATGAATGGCTCTAGAGGGTATTCTTTCTTTAGAAATTCCCGCACTTGCGAGACGATAAGCCCCGAATCTTGCTCGCTCATTTGAGACACAATCAAAGATGATTTGATGCGCGGATCCAACACGGAAGCCACATAGTAAAGAAGGTTGTCGTCTATTTTTCTAGCAAACTTGTTCATCTTCCGAATGCCTCTTTCCAACGCATCGCGAAATTCAAATGTTCACGTCTTCAAAATCTCCCTCCGCATTTCGAACGTCACTTAACAAATCGTCCAAACTCTAGTAAATCGGGAGACTTTCCACAATTGTTGGGCATACCTTTGAAACGGAGTTTGTGTGGTCCCAGAACGGCTTCAGGATCTTGGCTACTTACTGAAGTATCGACCATTCGTCATCGGTGAGCTGGAGGGCCTGAACTTCTAGATGTATCCGCACAAACTGCCCCAGCTCAGTTTGTAACCGAAGCGCATCTTGAATCATGATATACGTCGAGTTCCATCGGGTGTCAACATCATAACTGACTTGTTTTTTAGGTGATACTTCTTTCCAATCTTTGCGGCGCTGTGGGCTACGGGCGATCCACAGCGTTAGAAGTCGTACTTTTATGATTGCTCCTTTCGTGCTATAGAGGGAGTTAAATGCTAGGCTAGTATAAATGGCCATGTCGTCCAGTATCACCTTTGCTTCTCGAGCTGAACTAGCTCTTAAAGAAGCTAACACATCTTTGCAAATCAGGTTGAGGATATAGGCAAGGTAAGGAATGAAGCTCTATCGTCCGCGGAAACGCATTAGAGGCCTAATGCGAAAGCGGTCATCGTCATTATCATACTTCTTGAGGGGCTGGTCATATAGGCTATCGCAGAGCGTCCCGTTATTGCCCGCATTGTCCCCTGTGATGGTTAGGAGCTTTAGCGCGATGTCCAGTTCGGCGAGCATCTTCAACACAACCTCCGCTAGATTCTCTCTAGAATGCGGTCCATTAATCTCGGTGAATTCGAGAAGTTCATCTCGCTTTTCAAACTCGGGGGTGATCCAATGACCAATGATGCCCATTATCGCAATCTGATTTTCCGACGTCCAAACGTCAAGGGACAAAGCGAGTGTCCAGCTGCTCCTCGCAAGCTCCTCTTTCAAGGAAGTCCTACTTAAATGGAACTCCTCCTTGATTCGGTTGAAGAGAGTATCGGTAGTCTTGATAGGTAAAGTGGCCCCCGTTACTTCAATGAGTGCCTTGAAAGCCGGATGCTCCACCACTATAAAAGGCTGTCTAGTCTAAATGACCCATCGGACTAGCATTTCTTCAACGCTAGCCTTCTTTCTCGGCGACTCCAAGAAACGGTCGAGGCTTCCTGCGGCCGTGGGTAAGAAGATAAAGTCGGCTCCAGACTTGATACGATGCTTAGTCTAGAGATACACCAACAAATTCGAAGTGGAACTATAGCGCGCCGAATCTCTGGAGGACCAACTGCAATATTTGCAAATCAGCAGTCGGTCTTTTTTTAGTGGGCCACCCTGCCGACACTAAGTGCTTTCTAGATCTATGGTCCAAAAGTGCTCAAGGGTCCAACTAGAATACGACTTGGTTGTTCGCCTTTTATATGGGTGCGGACTACTCGTATTGCTTCTGCTTTCCGAAAACGCAAGGTCAAGCGGGTAGGGTGAAGAGCTAGGCAAAGAATAAGACTGCTTCGTCTGAGGCGTGTCTTCGATGTTCCTAGATGGGGAGGGCTCAGGAGAGGAAGGGCGCCCTATTTCACAGATAGATTCCTCAGACTGCTCTGAAGGTGACGAAACCAGGCCATTATAGTCTCGACGTGGAAGACCACGCGTCCTCCGTATGGACGGATTAGGTGTAGACGCTATGCTACTGTTTCCTGGTATTAGTATATTAAAAAGGGATCGACGGTGATGCATAATATACCTAGAGCTACCTAGGCTGGGGTTAGAAATTGATAGGAGACCTGAGGAAAGGATGATGGTTGACAGGCCCAGTCATGTTCGCGCTTTATATGCCTTTCTTGAAGGGAAAAGTTGATAGATCTCTTTTCTGTTTTCTGCAACGCGATATTGACGATCCTGAACGTAAACAAATGCAGCCAGGATCATTGGAGGCTCTGGGTCGTGAGGCAAACGCGTTTTTACGTGCCATTTCCCAAGGCTACTTTGTGCACCAAGCTTGAAATGTTTTGGAGTGGAATCAGGGAGTTGAGAAGATCTAATCAATTAATTGCCTAAGATGACTCGCAATTGGGTTGACAGATATATATAATCTTCACGGATCTTCGTGGGCGATGTCAAGTTTCTATGGACTGTTGGAAATTGGAGCCCTCATCCTAAGGCGCCAATATCGGTCGGCATCTCTCTGCCCCGATGGCTGCTGATTGGTCAGCTAGGCCCATGAGGTTATTGGAAATGGGCGCCTGTATATGCAGGTTCCTCATCTATATCGCCTTCTTTGCTTCTTTTCAGGGGGTTTCCCCATGGACACCGGGCAGCGGTGTAGGAGAACATTTTTGTATGCATTTCTCTTAGAAAACAGTTCTCAGGGGTAGGATATAAATATCCCCCTGAGAACGAGTAGAAAAGACAATCAGAATTTACCATCAATTACCTGTCTATCTTCTTTTCGTCTGATTATCTACCCCCTAATTCTCAACATGGACAACCCTATGTGAATGAGTATCATGTCTCAAAAAGATCCACTACGGTACATCAAGCTGGTCAACCCTACATAAGCAGGTTTTACCTTCCAGCATATGTTCGCAACGGAAATTCATAGTCCAGCGTTGCTGTTGAAGTTGGCATTGTGAAGTCGGCCACTAAGCGCATTTCGGTAATACGATAACCGCTGTACCGGACAAAGTATTAATGCGGAGAAATCTCACAATATGAATAATATGAATGCGAATATGAATAATGCGTTTATTCGCGCGAATATGAATATGTCGTATATTCGCATTCCTTTATTCCTTTCGGAACCCTAGGCGCCAGTGCTAATAATATGTATATCCGAAGAATTACAGGTAGAGCTGGGGATATTCTCTTCAATTTCCAGGGATACCGGAGGCAGGCTCAATTAATGATGATGAAAATCTACATGAGTTAGCGAGAGTCCATTTAGCGGGAAGCACGGTGGAGTAGATATGGGCTGTAATGGCGGGACAGGTCGCTGCAGCCCACCGAAGTCTTTACTATGGGGTGCACGGACAAAAAGTGTGAACTGGGTGACACTTCTGAAGAGACTAGTACAGTAGGGAATGAGGCTCTCATGGCTGATCACAATGTCCATATCCCAAACTCCACCACGGAAACCCTTGACATGTGGAAAGCTCAAGGGAAATCGATCTCGTTGGTAGCCATTAAAATTGCCTCAGGTGATGGAACCGGGCCACCCCTTCCTGTCTCTACATCGTGGGACTTGATGATGACCCTTGCAGTTTCTGATCCTCTCCGACAAGAAGCATTTGCTACTATCCAGGCACTGAAAAAGAGGGGAATAGAGGTCTGGATGATATCTGGAGATAACCCGACAACTGCCACTGCTGTTGGTACGATGGTTGGGATCCCCGGGGAAAACATAATTGCGAATGTGCTACCCGGGCAGAAAGCCGAGAAATTTCAGTACCTCCAAAGGACGTTAAAGAAAGTCTCTCGGAATGCTTTTGGAAGAGCAAATGAATATATAGATAGGAGGGCGACGATCGCAATGGTAGGCGATGGGATAAATGACTCCCCTGCCTTGGCAATGGCAGATGTGGGGGTTGCGATCGGTTCTGGTTCCGACATTGCCATCTCCTCCGCCGATTTCATTCTTGTTTCGTCTCGACTAAACTCATTGCTGACACTGATCGATCTCAGTCGCATTGTCTTTAAGAGGATCAAGTTCAACTTCGCATGGGCGTTGGTTTATAATCTCATCGCCTTACCTGTGGCTGCTGGAGTTTTATATCCCGTGAAAACCAGTGGAGGGCATATCAGACTCGACCCAGTCTGGGCCAGTCTAGCCATGGCGTTAAGCAGCGTGAGCGTTGTCTGCAGCAGTCTACTCTTGAGGAGCAGGTTACCAGGGATTGGATATAGGCTTAAACAAGCTCGCCAATGCGACTAGAGAGCTGCAAATGAAAACCTGGAATTGCTTAAGATTGCCTACCGCCGATAGCATGAAAAATGGATATTGGCGAAAATGGCCAGCTCGCAAAATATAGATTGTTCTGGGATATGGTCGTTGGGAAAATTGATTTTCGTGCCGATTTTGTTGGTGATCACAGGTCGTCGGGTGTTGCTTTCGGGCGGGGCTGTGGGGAGCGGGCGGGTGTGGGATAATATACTATACATATCTGCCCCCTCCAGAGCTTCCGTCCAATTCTGACGTATTACGGTATCTGCAGGATATTCTACTATGGGTTGGGAACAAAGAAAAGGGCACTCAGCACCATATTCGACAGATTGAGGGTTTGATCAGCGAGTTTAGCAGGATTCTGATTGATGAGAAGCGTCAGGTGACTTTGAATGACATGGGATGGAAACCTAAATAGGCAAGAGGGCTTTGGGTTAGTTAACTTAACTAGCTATCCAAATATTACGTCATCTCTCACTATTGTACAATTCACTTATTGTACCTGATTTCGCTTGGATGGGAGGGCGTACAATAAGCGAGAGCTGACTGTATGCGCTGTATCCTCACCGTGACGGTTGCATTCATCTGCCTCGTTTAAGCCTAGGGCTTGTCTTTATTCCAGTGCGCAGCTGTAGATATTGTGAGGCTCGTCCGCGAGTCGCAAGGTTTAATGACCTTGAAGTCCTTGGAAGTAATCCATGGAATGTGTTATTCCATCCATGCATGATCCGGAGTTATTCCGATAATTGGTAACCGAGTATTTTGCTTCGAAGGTTTGTCTTGCAATGATCTCGTACATACCTATTCAACCTGATCTCACTTATTTGCAGATCAAGATTTCGAAGCCATAGAGCATGCATTTGTTGGATGTACCGAATGCGTTATTTACTCCGTACCTAGATACGCCTAAGCCGATCTGCAGATAAAGAAGACAGGGGTTGACTGAAGCACGAACACCACCGCTGTCTTATGACTCCTGCGTCATTTTGCCGGCCAAATATAATCTTTATAACTCCTGAGATCGACACTTTGTAAACATTGATCACTTCTCGAACAGAAAGTCCAGAGGCCCAACATACAGTAGGTTACATTTTTTTGATCGATGGAATAGTATTACAAGTTACGTTTGGAACCAAAGTTACGTTGGGGCCCGGCGCACGAAAATCCGAAGAGAAGAGGAGTGGGTTAGGACAATCCCCTGAGGGTGTCCTGATACGATAAGGATACGAGTGAAGAATGTGAGATGTGCCTGACATGAGTATGGTGATATTCAGAAATCAGACTAATCGCTGGTCCTCCTAAGAGGATCCAGCCTCCCCTTATAAAGGGGATGCCTCTGTGCGTGTGCAAGCTGATAAGCGATGTGATGTATCAACAGGCGATTCCGGTGATACATAGGCACCTCCTACGCACTTCCTCTACTTCATTGTATGGTTGGCGTAACAGTGGGGCGCTATAAGACGGCTACGCCAACTTTTTTGAACCTATTATTTTGACTAGAGGCCCTGCCTATGTGCCATCGTTCCAACCGCCCAATTGTTACAATGAAGAAAAACTGTTCACTGTATTGAGGATTTTCTGCGCTTTTCTGCAGGGCTTAACTCCGTTATACCCGGGTAGGTCTGTTAGCGACTATTAAAATCCCGGTTTGTAGGATTTATGGTGAGGATGATTCATTAGGTACAGGCCCAAACTTCTTAGCAAGCGGTATTATGGAGCTTAGAACTAGTTTCGCCCTATGAAGGCCTCCGTAAGAAATTAATGGGTTATTTCTTTAATAAGCAACAATAACTCACGAATTTGACTGAGTTGCACCTTCAAATTATTGATTCCACAGCTAGAGCTCCTCTGCCAGGTCTTCTTTCTCCATTTTTGGCTTTTCCCAGTGACAATCCGATCAAGAGAAGCTTTCGGTCCAGTCTTAGTCTTAGAATAAGTAGATTCATCTAATTACCCGCCTGCCTTTTGATGAGACATTTATAAGCCAAGTGATCTTCCTTTCAAAGCCCTGCGCTTCCTCTACAAACTTGAAAGTTGTGAAACCAGTTCGCGTTGAAATATTTTGCACTGCTCGTCATACTGTTGGTTTGTTCACGCTATATCTTGTAGAAAAGTACACTTAAGACCTGGAGGGACAGCGTCGTTGGCGCGAAATCATGAAAGGCTGGCTGGATCGGCACACGCCGAATGCCAGCTTAACAGCCAGTAGTGGATTTTCAGGTGACCTTCACTATTATTGGGTATCAAAAACCTCCTGCATAATTTGTGCTAAGCTTGCTCTTGCCGTGTATGCGTTCAAGAGAGCGTCCAGCTAGTCATTCCTTGATTCTAAAGTCGTTTGGTGCGGTTGACTTGCTTCATCAACGGTGATGATATCCACACCTTCACGGATGAGTATACGCCGCACATAGTTTCGCAACTCGTGGGGCCAAGTTGGCGTACCCCAATATCGGACTTTAAGGCCGTGCGCGTGGGCCAGTTGCACCTGCTGACGAACGTTGGAGAGCTGGCTCTCTGAAAATCCATTGAAATCCACACTCCCAACTGCTGTGCGGAAATGGGCAGATGCATAGTAGCTATTTCGAGAGTTGTATTCGGAGTTTTGAGGTGGGTTTTGCGAGGATACAGGCAAGATTTCCATGAGCGGAGCATCGTAGAACACGTCCCTGAAGGTGCTTCTCTCCAAGACGCGATAGAGTGGCACGTTACCGGTGGTAACAATTGTGAGTGGACCATGTACAACCGCCGACCCATTGAAATAGGATAGAAAGCCGGCCTCTCGAAGAGGCTCAAGGTATGGAAGAAGTTGAGACCACACACGGTCCGGGTCGGCATCAAAGTCTATCAGCAGCACAAGGGTTTGCGTAGGGTCATTAGTAAACAAGCCTAGAATCTCATCCTCATTTCTGTTTGCATCGGAATGTGGAGTTTCCAGGCTCGTGTTAACCTCCCGAAGCATCCTCAGCAAAGGATCAATGTAGAGGTTCCGGAGGTTTAGCTCTCGTGACAGCATATCGGGAATTGGTCCAATCAATAGATCATTTCCGGAAGGGAAAAGCTTCATTTCAATGCTCATGCAGCCGGAAGAGATTGCGGATTGTAATGAGACATGGCGTCCATGTGCGTTGTGCGAATAACAGGTGACAGGAATTATATCGTGTGTCGTCCAATGTGAGACTACCGAATATTCATTTTCGAGGATATCAAGGCTTTGAAAGTAAGACGCAGCATGCTCGCGAAAGTAAAGCTTGTCGCCTTTCTGGGCCAAGGAAAGAAGCTTGAAGATGGCACTGGTTCAACGGAATGGATCAGTTGGGTTCGGCCTGAAAAGAGGAAGAGAAGAAACAATCCTTACAAGACAATCAACAAAGCCCAGCAAAAGCGCTGTGCTGTGCGACTATATAGTGCTCGTTTCAGAAATGGGCAGGGGTTGCAATTTTTAGTGGGAACAAAACCAGGCGGCTTCCTCTCAGGCCCTGTTCCAGGCGTTAAAAGCTCCTGAGCGCTTGACGTCCATCGTCGAGAGGACATGATGATTTATTTTTTGGATCAAGGGGAAGGCCAACAAACCGACCTGAGGCTTAGCCCGAGGAAGCATCTCTAGTCTACTCCAGCGTACACTCCGGGGTTCCTACGAAGGGCTTAATAATCATGAGCCCTCGATGTCACCGGGGGAGCGGAACCTAAGAAGGGATCATAGGCTTACGACTGCTGTCCATATCCGGAATATGTCTGCCTGGAACGCTCAAACCGGAGCGGTACGGAGATCGTAATGGCGTCCAGTATTGATTGTGAGGCAAACTAGTGCGTGGTCTGTGCTGAGATCGGCAACGCGCCCGTGTGGATCCGAAGTCTGCTAAGCTCAATTTTCGCGGAAAGCTTGACCAGTGGGACGAATGAGGAGCGGACAGTGACATTTTCCTCTTTACACAACCTCGATACCACGATACCACGATACAGAGAGATACAGTATGAAACGAAAAATTACAAAAATTACACGTACGAAAGAAAAGCACCTGATCCCTCCAGAAGCGGCGCGTAAGCGAAGGACGAAATCAGCGATCGCCTAGCCTTCCACTCGGTCCCCTTTGAATCATGTTGGAAAACCGGCGCCTCGAGTGGACCCGGGTCCTACTAATTACTTCAAGGTTCCGGAAACTACTAGGAGGTGAGCTTACCTCTCGGCTTAGTCTCCCCATCTCTGTTAGCTACCTCGTCTTGCCTACCCTCGATACGGAACGCATGCGTAAACCGGCCACTTGCAGCGCACAGATATTCCAAAGGAGATGTCTCACCTAAGAATAAACGGCGACCGCAAAATCCGAGTATGCGGGAAGAGTCTTTATCTCTGCTGTGGTTCTTACTTTCCAATTCCAAGACTGCTCTTCGCTTTCGATTAATGTATGACCATTGGCGCGTTTTTCAAAGCGAAATCGGTGGTTGTCGACGCGGTCGCGTAGGGTGTACCAGGTGACATTAAATCGTCGTGTAGCTTCAGCAACACCGCTGACTTCTCTGTCGTTTATAGCTTTTATAGCTAATAAGATACGATCCTTTGTTTGAATGAATTTCGGCTCAATCGAGAGCGAGGTGGCATGGTGGGTGGTTAAAGACAGAAAGACGCGTCTGGACGCGAGACGCGAATAAGTGGATAAGCGGTCAGCTCGGTTGTGAATTAACGTATTCGGAAAGCGAGCTGCGCATGTAAGCGAGCTGCGCACCCCAAAACATCATAGTAAATGCGATATTTTATAGCTTTATATCTCAACAATAATAGATTGACATAAAGTTTTCTTATAGTGGTATGTTCGCTATAGCATATCTAACCCGTTTATAGAATCTAGGGGAGATTTAGAAGGAAAAGTAATCAGAAATATATATTTGCAGCCCAAATAGCTAAATTACAGTGTATTTTACGGTAACATGATAAGAGATTCATTGTACTAACTCAAAATTAGAATATAATACTTTCCATATGCGGTAAAACGATAGTATTAGAAAGATGAAGTAATAACAATCGTTTGTTGTTGAGATACAAGGTTATAAAATATCGTGTTTACTATGGTGTTTTGGGGTGCGCAGCTCGCTTTCCGAATACGTTATCCCGGTTGCTGAGATAATGATGAGGCCGGGATCACGTGCATACATGTATACCAATCTCTCAGCTTACTTGTATCTCAGACAATACAACACACAATCAACCTCCCTCAATATGGACACTGAAGCATCACTTATTACACCAACACAACCCGTGGGTTGGGTTTTCGTGGGCGGGTTTGAGTTTTGGGCGGGTTTTGGCGAGGCCTAGATATACCTGTCTACCAGCCTACTTTGTATCCAACACAACACACAATAAACCCCCCTCAATATAGTATGAACACCGAAGCATCACTTTCCAACCAACATGGAGGGTCCGGAGGGTCAACTGCGGGTGAGTGCCAGGACTAATCCCCGTAGCAGACAGCAATGAAATTCCCACGGAAGTCGAAGTCACGTCCTTGGCGGCGGATGACTCACATGCAGCCGCTGCAATCCTAAAGGTGTATAGCTCACGACGTCAAAAACGAGGGTCGCATCGCGTAATAATTCTAAAACGTCAATGCACGATCTTGAGCTTCACGCGCAATTATTGACTTTTTCAATTTTCCGAAGCCTTGTGCTCTCAATGTCGGCACCGGAAGAAGCGGGTATTTCGCGCGTCATTTTCACTCTATGACGTCTAAGTGACTGAATTTTCGTACTAACTTGGACTTGTTTAAAAAAATTTGACTTGATTTTGCTAATATTTCGCCTTTCTCCACGGAGATACAAAATATGAAAAATCAAGTAAGAACTGGGGAAGCTCTGACGTAACAACTTAAAGCCTGAATGTATATAATGCAACAGCGTCCCGACTGTCGTCAAAATATTTGAATGAGCACCCAATATCTCTATTCTTTATCTTCGACATGTCTCTGGAAGCCGATAATCGCGAGAAGTTTGACCGTGTACTTGAGCGTGACCCAAATGTCACAATTTTCCTAAAGCCAATCGCGGCTCCTGCAGCGTTGGGTCTAGCAGGGTTTGCGGGCTCGACCTGGATTACCTCCACATATATTGCCCGATGGTGGGGTGATGAACAATCACCCACCATATTCTTTCCATTCGTGGCTTTCTGGGGTGGGCTGGGCCAGTTCATTGCCGGCCTCTTCGGTTATGCAGCCAGAGATACATTGGTCACAGTTATTCATGTCCTGTGGGGAAGCTTCTGGATGAGTATCGGCCTACTGTATTTGTTGACAGTAAGTCCCACCTGGGACATGAGGACTCTCCTTAATCGTCAATGCTCATAGGTACTGACTCACTCAGGCCACCGGTGTCATTCCACCACATCCTATCAATGTCCATTTTCCCGAGCTGGCGTCTTGGATGATCGTTCTATCCTTTTTTACGTGGTCTGGGGTGAGACATTCCTGTATCAGGATTGGTTCCATTTATCTAACATGATCTAGGCCGTTGCAGCCAGTGCCCGAGACCTCATCCTCTGTTCAGTGTTGACATTCCTAGCGATAGGATCCACTATCGCCTGCTGCCTCTTCGCTTACGGCTCAGGTGTAGGCACCGGTATGAAAGCTGCTGCTTATTTTTGGATCATCAGCTCGATTCTTGCTTGGTGGCGTGTCACCGTCTATCTTGTTGAGGAGGCTTTTGGTAAGAGCGCCATCGTGAAGTTCTTTCCTATATTCCGTACGCCTGTTGAGAAGAGACGGCCGCTTGTTGTTCCGGGTTTTGGAGAACCTGGTGTCAAGCGCGGAATGCCGGGAGTTGCATAAGATTCGCGAGCAAGGCAGGGCCACATGCTTGAAAATCTTAAGTGTAGCCTCTGCAATCTCCTAACTAAACCTAATAATCATGTGGTCTATAATTGGATTGCGTCGTTTCCCATACTCTCAGAATCTTCTTTTGTCTCGTTTCGTCTGACCTTTACGTGGAAGAGCCTTATTGTATAAGACTCATCATGCGGAACCCACGTATAGCATCGAGCGCTATTCTCAACCTTTAATAAAATGAAGGATTACCTGCCCACAGCAATTTGCAATGAAAGTGCCTTGTCCTATGACGCAAAATCTGACTGGTACCTCCGCCACCACCAAGGCCTTTTGGAGACAATCTTAGTACCGTTAGAGCCTCCACAGTGGCTCTATCCTTGAACTGTTTCCCTTTGTTCATTACTATTGCCTTCGTCAGTGCCCCACTGCTCCCTACGGCCGGAGCTGGTGCACCAGCCTACAATAATAACCAGTCCACAACAATAATTACTATCAAATATTGAAGCAATTCCATCACACACTCCAATATGCCTTCGAACATTGATTCTACCGGGGAACGTATACTCAAGGCTGTCGAGAAGGCCAAGTCGATGGGAAAACGGCCTAACTTAGGCCAAATCGCCCGAGATTTCGACTTTCCGTACCAGCGTTTACGGGCGCGCCTCTAAACACTCCCCCAAGACCTACCAACAACGCCTAGGTCCAATCCAGGAGCAGGTCATAGTACGCTGATAGCAGCTCTTGGATCGCTACGGTTGGCGCCCGACACATCGAGATATTGAAGCAGCAGCGAACCGTATGGTTACTAGACGTGCCCTGTTAATAAGATGTGGATTTACGACTTCGAAAAACGCTGACTACCAGCTAGCACCACCAAGATTACCACCAAACGCCCTTTCAGCAAGCGTAGAATTGAATCCGAAGATATATGTTTACCATCAATCTGGTTTGATAGGCTGGCACCATATCTTACTACCCACGATTCATGCCATATACTTACCGAGAACATCTACAATATGGATGAGACTTGTTTCCAGCTCGGTGTGGCCACGTCCACAAGAGGGCCCTCTCAATATGTTCAAGATGAGAGATTTGGCTCTAAAGATAAAGGCGAGACTGTAACTGTGGTGGAATGTGCCTCAGCAACTGGAGAAGGCCTTCCAGCCTACGTCATCTTCCCGGGAGTGGTCTTTATGGAGAGCCGGTATCGTGACGGCGCACCAGATGATTACCGAGTCAACATCTCTCAATCGGGCTATATCAATGGAGAAATAGCACTGGATTCGCTTCAGAATCACTTCGACAAACACACCAAAGCTAAGGCAAATGGCAGCCCAATCCCAGCTACACTTCCAAAGGGTGAACGCTCTGTTAGCCGATTTATTAATAAATTAGCTAAGAAGGAGGCCAAGGGCAGTATTACTCTCCTAGAGAGTAGTTTCTTGGAAGGTGTTCATCTTATGTACCGAGGCTATTGGCAGCAAGCTACCGAGAACGGCCTAAACCGACACACTGTCAGTACTAGACTTAGTGGCACCGCGCGTCCTAAGCCTAACAAACGGCAGCTTAGCAAGAGTCTTGGCCCACATGGACCTTGTGACGCTAAATCTAGCATTAAAGAGAGAAAAACTAGGGAAGAAAGACGAGCAGCGGCTCGTCGACAGAGAGAGGTTAGCCAGTCTCAGCCTATTTTAGGCCTGGAACACCCTCCGCCGGTTCGGTCAACGAGTCAAATTGGATCTCCAAGGCCTCAAGTATCCGAGGAGGAACGCAGAGAAATAGATAAGCGGTTGCATGGAGTGGATTACTACAAATGAAGATGTATCTATCTGAGTAATTATTGTTGTGGACTGGTTATTGTTGTGGACTGGTTATTGTTGTGGACTGGTTATTGTTGTGGACTGGTTATTGTTGTGGACTGGTTATTGTTGTGGACTGGTTATTGTTGTGGACTGGTTATTGTTGTGGACTGGTTATTGTTGTGGACTGGTTATTGTTGTGGACTGGTTATTGTTGTGGACTGGTTATTGTTGTGGGCTGGTGCACCAGCTGCGACCGTCGGGAGCAGTGGGGCACTGACTTAAGGCACTGGTATTCACTTCTCCAATTTCGATTTAGATTTCACTCCAATAGCGTTTTCACATCTCATCCCACAGTCTTGGCTGGATCCAACTATTTGATGCATTTTATAGTCGCTAAATAGGGGCTCCAATTCGCTGATGCCAAAACGCCTCGGAAACGCGCGGCATCAGCTATTACGGAGGCCCCTTACGATCTGCGCAAGAAAAACATTCCTCGCACCATTCCAGCCGAATTCATTTTATAAATATATAGGCAGATGTTAACCGCACACCCCTGCCATGTTCTCGCACACCCCCCAGCCCACTTTTTCCCAATTAGGAAAGTTGTGTGCCTCAATACCCTCTCTTGAAAATTGTTACTGTAAGATTGGCATGTCTGTAATTTAGCTGCCCCGTTAAGACCCCCGAACGCCGGGTGAGGTACCCCCCGGGCCTACTTATGCGAGCCCTAGTCAAAGCACCCCCAGGTCCCCACAAACCAACCCCCACCTCCATCCGTCTTTCTGCATCTTCTACGCCCCGATTCTTCTATTTCTGCAGCCAAATCTAAGAAAACCCTCCTTCATATTCCGACTAGATCTTGCTGAAGTAAGATACAGGCTCATTTTCAAGCTTTCCACGTCGTCCCCGCCCTGCTTTTCTAGTTGCTTTTCCACCGGTTGCCCGGCCTCTTTTCAACCCTCCTGTCCGCCCTCGAGGTGCGTTTGATGGTGCCAAGAGTTCTTCAAAATTCGATGGGTTGCGGCGAGTCGAGCGATCGGGGTTCCTCTGCGTGGGCGGCTTCGTCAAAGCTTCCCATTTCACAAAGTTGGTTGCTCCTTTCGGGCGTCCAGCTGGTTTTGCCGCCCGAGGCTCCTGCACAGGAAGGCAAGGTGCATAATCATCAACGTCGGTGGTACGGAGCCACCATTGCGGGTGAAAATGGTCTCGCTGGAGAGCTTCATTATGATCAAGTAGTGGTTTGATTTCATGGATACACGGGATCCCGACACTATGAGATAGATACTTCCTGCACTCCGCTGGGATACGTCTGTCCTGAAGATATTTTTCCAAGCTCCGCTTGACAGTTTGCAGTGCGAATGCCGCCACATGCCCGAGGACGTCCTTGAACAGCGGCTGCCGAAGGTTGCGATGTAGGAAACACTGCTCTCGTTGGAGAGAATACTGTGCCTCACAGAATGCATGATGCGCTGTTCTTCCGATAGACTGCATTGTTTTGAGAATGTCACCGGTTGATACTCGGAGATCACGCTTGATCGCGGAATGAGCTCCCTCCACGCGCGATGAGGCGATCTGATCAAAGTGCCTGCTTTCGTTGGTATAACAGCGCAGAAAGCGACGATGAATATCGTCCCGCATCCACGTCTTCTGTATATATTTGATTGCTGGTTTGAAGACCTCACCCCGATACGTCTTAACAAATGCTTTCCAAAGCTCGCTCCATCTCCGGCACTGTTAGAGCAAAGATAACAGTGTTCAAGAGTGACTTAGCTGACTTCCATTTCTCCATAGTATCCTCTCGTACTTGGCGAATGTCCCGATCTGGGTGTGACAACAGCACTTGCCGCTGAAGAATTGGGCAGACCTTGGCCTCGATGTTCTTCATAATATGCCAATAACAGAGCAGGCCCTTCGTGCCAGGAAGGGCCTGATCAATGGCAGTGAGCAAAGCAGTACAGTTATCACAGAAAAACGTCTCCGGTACTTGAATCTGCTGTAAATCCAGTATATCCCGTAGGGTATCGAGTACCCAATCGTAGGATTCCTGGCGCTCGTTGCTCACGAAAACACAAGCAACGAAGAAGGTCTTTTTAGTGGCTGCCATACCGACAATATTGACCAACGGCATATGATATCTGTTCGTCTTGTACGTGGCATCAATCCACAACATAAAAGGGTATCGGCGAAGAAGCCGTAGTCCTTCTTTGGATGCAAAGTACGCCTGGCTGATAATGTCACTACCCAACTCCATTTCCCAGTATATCTCCCAATCATCCTTCAGATTTGTCAGGACCGCTTGAATGGAGGTTTTTGGGCCGAGGAATAGGCGTTTGGTATACTGATGGAGATTCCGGAGGTCGCTAGGGGTGATACAAGGGGCCTGGATTCGAGCTCGGAGGGCTTCTTGTCGCAGGAGATTGATGATTGCTAGAGCTGTCATACCAAGGGAGAAATACCCAATAATGCGTGGGCGTACCCGTGCGATATCATACTGTCGATGCGTCGGGTGAAGAATTGGGTGCGAGCCGAGGTGATTATGATTGCCGTGCTGTACGGTGAATTCCAGGCGTTGCCCATGTTCCCGGACTCGGAGAACAGCTAAAAAAGGACAGTTACAGCGCGAGGAGGCGGCTGGGCGGGCATTTTCACCGCCTGAGCAACGATCATCAGGATCGCCGGACCGGTCGCAGTGTAGGTACGTGGCTTTGCCGTTGGATCGCTTAATAGTGATAGCGTAGCCCTGGTGGCGGGCGTACTCGTTGAGGTCCCACATGGCACTATCGCGAGTGCTGAAGAAGCTCCGGGCCGCTGGGGGAAGAAGTAGATATGAACTATCCATTTAGAGATAGACAATAGAGACTGGTTGGATTTGGGTGCAGAAAGTGTAGAGAGTCGGGTACAACGGGATCTACCAGTAACGTTAGAAGTTCTATTGATCAGGTAAAAGGAGGAATATACCGGATGGGCACAAGAATTGATTCTTGAAGAAAAGCAGGTACAGCGTGTGTGCGATCCTTTTAATTCCTTTATCTGATCGACCAGGGCTTGGTGCCCTATTGACAGGGATCTGGTATCTGATCCTCCACGTGAGGCTTGTTAAATTTTATAGTTGTCAGGATTTTAGGTGTCTGCATTTATAACTGCAGATTTCTAGAGCTTCCAATTCAACATAGAAGTTCCCGCTGAAATTCCCGTTCTGCCATTTCTCACCGCCTTTATCTGATCTTGCAGTTATCTCTCATTTATCTCTCACTTTGCTCTCACTTCAGCCTTTACTATGCTTTCTCTTTCCATTTGCCTACCGGACCGAGGTTATTAGGCCTATCCTGTCTATAGCCGCGGGTAACAGTACGTTTACCTACCTCGGGTAACAGCACGTTTACCTACCTCGGGCAATAGCACGTTTACGGCAAGATTACCTCGGGCGAATATTACCTTAGGTAATTAGCCAGATGAACTGAATATTTGTCTATAAATATAGCCTAGAAACCAAACTAAATAAAAAAAGAGCTTTCATCTCAATTATTCTCTTACTACCTTTCTCTCATAAAGGCAGACTAAAGAGACCCTTTATCTTTATCTTCATCCATCTTCCTGGGGTAAGCTACTACGCCGCAGTAGTAGCCGACCTCTACGGGAGGTAGTATTTCTCTCTACAAATATTTGTCCTAAGGACTGCCCTGCCGCATAGGGACCCTTAGGCATTTATTTATCTCTCTTATTTTCATATACTACCAATCCCGACAATAGTGATGTATGTAGGATGATGAATTGGGCAGCTAAATTACAGACATGCCAATCTTACAGTAACAATTTTCAAGAGAGGGTATTAAGGCACACAACTTTCCTAATTGGGAAAAAGTGTCTAGAAGGCAAATGTCGGAGAACGGATCAGCCCTATCCGTGGCTAATAGCAGGCAAAATTACCTTCATCTAATAGAGCAAAATGCAGGCTACACGACGATATATTAATTATTGCAATTGACCTTCGTTTGGTTCAGATACCGACCGTTGAAGTTGGGTGTCTTCATGGTATAGCGGTGGGCAGAATGGTGGCCGGCCAAAGCCACCGCCCGCCCAATGTGGTATTTAAAGACACCGCCCTTCCCGATTTGGTATTTAATGACACCGCCTTCCCTCGTTTCTGCCGCCTGTCAAATTAGGGTTTCAGGTCTTTTCCTAAACATAGAATCGCCCGGTAGGGGGGGGTACCCATAGTTAAAAAGTCTTGGCAAGGGGGGGGGTACCGAGTCAACACGGTACCCCCCCCCCTAAGTAGGTCAAATCTTAGTATTTTTCGATCGGGTCTTTTAAATCTTTTAATATTAAAGCCTTTCCAATCTTTTGGCTTATTTACATTTTTAGATTTCGACCTAGAATAGTGAGGGCTAAGGGGGTCTGGTTTTCGTGAATTATTTTTGATGGGGGATGCCAAGACCTTTTCGCGCGGGTAGCCTATCCCTATTTAAGCTAGACATCCCTTATGTAAGTACTAGGCTTAGCTATTAGGCTAACTTCTAGACCCTAGAAAGTCCTTAAGGCTAGTATCAGGGCTAATAGTAATCCTTTAATATCTCGCGAACGAGGTAAGCTATTAGAATAAGGGAAGAAGTTCTAGATACTATAGCCCTCTCGCTACTAGGCTAGAGGATTTATATTACGTAAGCAAGCCTTATACTAGGATAATTAGTAGGGAAAGGGAGTTTGAAAGTTTTTACTAGATGACTAATCCTAGGTAGGCTCGTTTAATAGAGGGAGTCTTGGCGGTTAGATTAATATTAGTAGTATCCTGATTAGGCTAGTATCCACGAAGTTATTAAGCGTTGAAATCGATTACGCTTAGTAGTTATAAATATAGATCCGAATGATATATCGTACTAATATATAAGAGGAATTGATAAAGTGATATCTTCTCAATACTAGTAGGATATATATATTATTTCTACTATAGGTATAGCGTAAAGGGGTCTATAAGAGAGACATAGGTAGATAGAATAATAGAAGGCATAGTGGCTGCTAGTAGTATTTAATTATATATAAGCTTAGTAGCTAAGGAAGGTAAGGTAGGGTAGTAAGATAGTAGGGTAAACCGCTAAACCGCTATAGATAATAAAGTAGGGTAGTATAGAGTAGGATAGTAGGGTAGGATAGTAGGGTAGGATAGTAGAATAAAGTAGTAGAATAAAGTAGTAGAGTAGAGGAGTAGAGTAGTAAGTAGTAAGTAGAGGAGTAGAGTAGTGGGTAGTAAGTAGAGTAGTAGGGTAGTAGGGTAGTATTAGTAGGTTAGTAGGTTAGTAGGTTAGTAGGTTAGTAGGTTAGTAGGTTAGTAGGTTAGTAGGTTAGTAGGTTAGTAGGTTAGTAGGTTATTAGGTTATTAGGTTATTAGGTTATTAGGTTAGGGTTTAGGGTTTAGGGTTTAGGTTAGGGTTAGGGTT